TTAAAAGTAGCTGACAGATGTCTTACTGATACACTTTTCCATTGCAACTCAAAGAATGCTCATGTTCTAGTTCAGATAAATTCTGAGATACAGGATTAAAAAGGAGTTCATTGTTATTCTGTGTTTTCTTTGCAGGCGACGATTCACAAATGTTTGCTTGGATGCTGTTAGTTGCTACCTGGTTGAACTTCAGTCTATGAGCCCCACACTAATGGTGCAGACTACTATTGGGAATTTTAAATCTCTACAGGCCAAGTTAGAACGGCTTCACTGATTGACTAATACAAGAACAGAATCATTAGTGCAGATAGTACAAACTGAAATAAAGGTTCCGATGTTGGCACTGAATTACGAACAAACAAATCCTTAGAAAGAAAATACTGAGAGAGTTTTCTGCTGCCATGGTTATCAGATGTGTGGCCTGTATTCATGCTCTTCCTAAAAGTATCTACAAATTGTAGAATGTAAATGTGACAAATGGAGTTTCTTTTACTTTTACTACTACTAGGTTTTTCAACGATAGAAAGCTTTTTTTAATACTGTTGAAATAAAGTACTTTGTGTGATCTTTGCCATGGGGATAAAAAATATTTCAAAAATATTTTTTTCTTTGTTTTAAATAATGGGGAAAAGCAAATTATTTCCCCTATTCCATTTTAATATGTTGTATCTGTTAAAATCAAATAAAGAAGTCAAAAATTGACTTCTGTCTGTTTTTATTACGTGCACACAAGCACCAAATTATATACACACCTAGAATCCCCTCCCTGCCCTGCTGCCCACGGGGCTCTGGATGCAGCCCAGGACACATTTGGCTCTCTGGGCTGGCAGTGCCATGGCCGGGGCACGTCCAGCTTCTCACCCACATCTCACACAGATGTGTGGGGGACCATGTGAAAGGCTTTACAGAAGTCCAGATACCATCTGTATCCCTTCATTTGTCCACTGTTGGAGTCACTCAGTCATGAAGGTTACCAGGTTGATCAGGCATGACTTATCCTTCGTGAAGCTGTGCTGGTTGTCTCAAATCACCTCTCTGTCCTCCAGGTGCCTCAGCACAATTTCTAGGAGAACCTGTTCCATGATCTTTCCAGGCATAGAGGGGAGGTTGACAGGTTAGTAGTTCCCAGAGTTATTCTTTATTCTCTTTCTAAAGATGGATATATTTTCTTCAGTCACCTGAGACTACACTTGACTGCCATGACTTCTCAGTTATCATGGAGAGTGACTTGGGACTACATCAGACAATGCCCTCAGGACCTTGGGAGGCATCTCACTGGGTTCTAAAGACTTAGGTAAATTCAAGTAGGTCATCATGAACCTGATCATCCCTTGCCAATGGGAAGCACTTTGCTCCCCCAGTCGCCATCCTGCTCCCAACTCAAGAGGTGCAGGAAAACAGATTTCCATTGAAGACTGTTGCAAAAATGTTGAGCCTTCATCTATTAACAGCTTTCCATCACTGTTTATCAGGAGCGTTACACCTTCTCTGGTTCACATACCTGTAGTTGCCCTTCTTGTTATTCCTTATGTCCTTTGCCAGGTTCAGTTCTAGCTTCTGGAAGGCCTTCCTCACCTCATCGCTACATAACCAGTCTTTCTCTATACTCTTCCCTGGTTCCCTGTCCTAGGTTCCAGTGCATTTAGTTCTTTCCCTTTAGTCAGACCAACAGTTCCCTCATCTGCCATGCTGGTCCCTAGCCTCCCTTGCCCAATTTCTTTCTCCTGGGGATTGCTAGGTCTTGTACTCCATGGAAGACAAAAAAATCCATTAGAATAATGGATTTAACCTATCAGCCTCTAGGGTATGGGCCCAGCACGCTTCCACTGCTTCACTCTGTTCCTCTCAGTGCCTCTCAAGGACATCTAAGGGCCTTTGTCCAGACAACAGGAATGAAAAGTGTTGGAGAACGAGGGCATCAATCCTGCTGCTTCTCATATGCTGAGTGCTCTACAGTGCCTTTACTATGAAATAGGTATGCTCTAAAATTTTGCTTAAAGTACATTTCTTTCCCTCTCAACTACCAAATACCTTCTTTTGAATGATTTTGGTGATTTTTTTGGTGATTTTAAGCCAGCAAATGCACTTGTTGATACAATATAAAAATTAAAATACAACTCCTTTTAACCTTGTTAGATGAAAAAAGAGGTGAAATATTAGAATTAGCTTTTCTTCTTTGTCATTGTTAAAAACTTAAAAAGTATTTAAATAGAAGTAGTCCTTAAAAAGTATTTAAATAGAAGTAGTCCTGTGTGTCCTGGGAAAAATATTTTCTTCTTCCATGTAAAATAAACCATCTTTAAGTATTAGAAGTTATCTTCTGCTAAGCTATGTTTCTTACAAAGGATATAATGCATTTACCCTGGTCTTGTTAGTGCAGTTCACACAAATAATTTTCAGTCTTGCCTGATATATTTAACTAAATTTCAGTATTTGCATAAAAATATCTTGTGTTCAGCCACATTCTGTAATCTGATTTAGTAATGTGATTACTAAAAAGATTTCTATTTTCAGATTTGGAGAAATAACTGAAAAGTTTTGAACAGACACAAATCAAAGACTTGAAGTTCAGCTCTTCTGTTTTTTTCTCCAGTTAATGGAATAAGGATTCCTCTGGAAATATTGTAAATTGATCAAAGTAGTAGTATTTCAAAGTGTATCACAAGTTACCTCTGATATTTTTCAGATTGACAGCAGGTAATTCCAGTATGCACATAACCTTTTGTTTTCATAACACTTGCTCTGCTCTCAGATGGAGAAAGGACAGGTTCTGTTTCCCAATTTAAATTTGGAGGTATGTGGAAAACTGGGATCAGAGGGGAGAAGGGTGGCTTAATGCAGTAGATTAAATGAAGGATGATAATCACAGGGAAGTAGCAGACCAACATAAAACATTGCTCATTAACAATATTATCAATGTATCTTTACTTTTATTTTTTTCTTCTGTAGCTTTCAATCAACACTGTGATTAGGGAAAGGTGGCAGAAGGTGGGAACAAGGGTGAGTTTCAAAGAATAGCTGCTTTAAGCAAATCAAGGTATTCTTCAAGATAATAAAATATAGTGACAGCTTACCCACTTGTATTTCACCTTGTCATGGTTTAACCCCCTCTAGCAAGTATCACACAGCCTTTTCTTACTCCCATACCTCCTTCCATAGGATGGGGGGAGTTGGAAAAAAATTAAAATCCACAGGTTGACATAACCATTTAATAATTGGAAAAAGGTAAAGTAATAGTAACAAAAAGGGAAGTAGCAAAAAGAGAGGAATAAAACCAAGAAACACAAGTAATTTACCATGCAATTGCTCATCATGGATTGACTGGTGCCCAGCCTGTCCCTTAGAAGTGATGGGTTCCTCCCACCCAGCTCCCTTTGGTTATATACTGAGCATGATGTTCCACGGTGTGGAAAATCCCCTTAGCCAGTTCGTGTCAGCTCTCCTGGCTGTGCTCCCTCCTGTCTTTTGTGTACCTGCTCGGTGGCAGAGCACAGGACACTGAAAATTCCTTTACATAAAGTAAGTACGTACCTACGGTGCAACAGCAGAAGCATCAGTGTGTTATCAACACTGTTGTGCTAAATCAAAAACATAGCACTGTACCAGCTACTTGGAAGAAAGTTACCTTTATCTCAGCTAAAACCAGGACAGCCTGAATTCCAGTAATTCCTGTATTGTATAGAGAACACTGATCTCTTACAGCTATGTATCCTGCTGTTACTCATGCCCCTCATCCCCAAATACTGATGCTGATGCAAATTTCCCCCACAGCCACAGCCATGTGCCCTGTTCCCTGCGGGCTGTTGCCACAGGCAATCCATGGTGTCTGGCTTTCCCCACTGAGGAAGTTGTGTTGATCATCAAGTTCAATAGTCAGTTTTCTTGACATATGAGAGTTCACAGAACCCTAAAATGATCTGAGTTTGAAGGGATGTTAGAGATCAAATAGTTCAGCCTTTCTGCCATGCAGGGACACTTTCAACTAGACCAGGCTGTTCAGAGCCCCATCCAACCTGGCCTTCAGTGTTACCGGGGATGAGGCATCTTCAGTTCCTCTGGGTGACCTATGCCAGTGCCCTCCCCACTCCCAAAGAACTTCTTTCTAACATCTAATGTAAATCTTGTCTCATTTAGTTTAAACCCAATCATCTTTGTCGTACACACCCTTGCAAAAAGTCTCATTTCCCTCTATTTTATAAGCCCCTGTTAAGTACTGATTTGCCTCAATGAGGTTTCTGCAGAAGTTTCCCCAGGCTAAACAAGCCCAGCTCTCTCAGCGTATCTTCATAGGAGAGGTGTTCCTGCTTTTGATATCGCTGCGCTCCTTTGGACCCTTTCCAACTGGTCAAATGCCCTTCCCGTGCTGGGGACCCAAGAGTTGGACGAAGCGCTCCAGGTGGGGTCCCACCAGAGCAGAGAGGCCGAATCCCCTCCGTCATCCTTCTGACCACGCTGCTTTGAGTACAGCCCAGGATGCAGGTGACTTTCTGGCCGGCGAGCGACACTCCCGGCTCGTTCAGAGATGCGGGGGCACGCACCGGCCGAGCGCCGAGCCCGCCGGGGCTGCACAGGAAGGCCCGCCCTGCACGCCGGCACGGCGCCGCCGGCAGCAGCGGGGCGGAGCTGCGGCTGCGCGGGGGGGGCGCGGGGCGGTGGGGCCGGCGGCGGGCGCGGCCCCTCAGCGGCCCGGCTGCGGCGAGCCAGCAGCGGTCTGGGCGCTCAGCTCCTCTCGCCGCTCGAGCCCTGGGGAAGGAGCCCGCCCCGGGGCCGTCTCCGCCCTGAGCCGGGCACGGGCAGTGCGGGTTGCGGCGGGGGAAACCTGTGCCGCTGCCCCCGCTCGGGTGAGCGGCTGGCCCCGCGCCAGGCCGGCGCCCCTGCCCTGGGGTTCCTGTCCCGCCGGACGAGGCTGCAGGATGTTTTCCTTGTCTTGTGCATCTTTGGAGTTCTTTACGATGTACTGGCGGCTTCTCTCTCTTGGCTCCTTCTGAGCTAGCGTGACCCGCACCGCTGAGCAGCACATCGCCCGTGGGCTGCCCGGAGGAAAATACATCAAACATTAAAAAAAAAAAAAAAAAATTAAAAATATATTAAAAAATATCAAAAGTTTGGAAGTACGGGTAAGCATCAGTTCTCTTTGTGTTTAGAAGGAAGCTGCTAGAGATGGTCAAGACTTTCCTTGTGAATTCTTCTCCTCTGCACCTACCCCCAGACAACAAAAACTTCTGAATTTTTTTTTTTTTCTTTCTTCAGTTTCTCTAGAAATGTGTGGGAAAGTCACTATTTGCTTTTCTGTATAATGGTTACCTAGAGATTTAGTAAGAATGGAGATTAAGCTAGATGTGCTCATCTCTACGTGTATCAAGCAAAGAAAACCATGGCCCCGCATATCATGGGTTGGACAGGTAAGTATAATAAACTCTTTGAGTTTTAATTGTATAATACTTTGCACATCCATTTGCTTTAGGAGGGTTTAAAAACAACCTCAGGAAGTATTTTTATTAACCTTAAGAGTTAAAAAATAAATTACTTTTACCTTATTGATCTGAATCTGGAGATTTAAAGTTTCCCAGAGGAACATTGAAGAGCCTTTTTTTTCCCCTACCCCAAAGACTCAGAAGAGCTTAGATGAGATTGTTGTTTTGATGGTTATCGTTTTTCACAACGTTTTTTACAATATATCGTGGGAAGGGTGAACGGTTCTTTTTTCCTCATTTCATCCTGCATCTGTTGAAAGACACACTTTCTTAGACTTCTTTCATAAAAACACACTAAATTTTTTTCTTCTAAGATTTGAATTTAAGTAGGTAGCAATTTAACACTGATTTTTAAATTATTTTTCTATTGAAGTCACTTGTAATTATCTCACTAAATTAAACACTACAAGACAAGATAGCTAATGTCCAATTTTTGCATTTTTAGAAGGTAGTTTAGCAGAGGTACTTTGAAAACTTTTTACTAATGACAGTTAAGATCAGTTTGGTGTTTTGAAACCTTTGAGTCAAATTCATCATCACTGTAAGTCCATGCTGGATATAATGTACTGTAAAGCAAATATTTTAAAGAATGAAATTAGTGTGGCAATTGCTGCCTTATTGTACTTTTTAAAATTATTTTTTCCCTGACATTTTTTCTCTGCATTATTCTGTACACCTGTGTAGAAAACAGCATTTTGAAAAATTAAATACTTTTTCATTCTTTCAATAGGAAAAAGAGGCTGTTTTTCTTCTAGATGGTAAACATATAAATGAAATTAACTTGGCATCAGGGAAGACAAAGAAGAAAATACCTTCGCTGCAGTCATTGTTGAAAAATGTGGTTGTCTTAACAACATCAGGAAATGGTTAAGTATAATATCTTATGTGCAATAAGCTCAGGTTATTTTATTTATATTTGTAACAGTGTGAAAAGGCAGATATCTAAAGCATCTGCCAGTTCACTTAAAACTGTGGCTAAGATGGAAGAGAAGTAATTTGAAGTAACTTCACAGTAATATCCTTCAAAACTTCTCTCCCCCAACGAACACAGCTGCTTGGTTGGCAGGAATACTTACAACAGGAGAGCTGTTTCTTTGGAATAAAGATCAGGACTGCTTGAAAATTGTGCCAGCAATCGAAGAGTCCAAAAAAGTAGTAGCAGGAGCACAAGGTAGGTTTTTTTCAATTAATCCTGTGAAAAAATGGAATAAAGGGAAAGTTCTTTTCCTTTCTTTAAAAGTTATTACATGAGTAAAACTGTATTCTTACATTGTTTTGCATTTGCATAATTTGTTTCCTAGCTAAACTTTGTCAAATGTCTTTTGAGTGGTACAGGTTTTTCATTTAGTAATCCCTTGTAAATAGTTCATTTTCAGATACTGTATGTCCTATTGGTTAATTTTTTACTGTAAAATGTTCCTGACTAGGTTATCAATTACGGCAGATGTACGTTTGATGTAAACAGTATATGGACAATTTGAAGCTTGTTCTCTAGGTGGGCTTTTGTGGCAAATGCTGGCTAAAAATAATAAAATGCAGACATGTATTTGCAAACCTAATTATCAAATATTTTCTTGTATTGGATAGCATCACTGATGCCAGCTTCTAAAGTTAAGTGTTGCACAAGAAATTCTGTCATTTCAGGGAAGATCAGTAGTATACCTAAGAGCTAAAAGTAATCCATAGTAGAGCACTTAGGCTGTCTTGGGAAACATCTCTAATGGTCGAGTGTTGTGGGAAGGATAATTCATAGGATACATAGAGATGAATATCCATCTGACTTTGCTGCTGCCGGAGGTCTGCTATCAGTCATGAAGCTGGAAATTAAAGATACTTAACATGACAGCTTGAATTTCTAGTTATAGATGAGAAGAGAAATCTACTTTCTCTATTCTTTTTAATTCTATGTATAACAAAGGAACAGAAACTATCCTGGCACATTGTTATGTTTGTTTGTTTTTTTTCTCCAGAGTGTTTAATGAGGTTGTACTTGTATGTATCTGGAGATGGCAGAAAGGTACTGTTAACTACTCCTACAGCATGTGCCTTTTTGTGGGAGAGTACAGAACATGAAAATACAGCCTCTGGTAAAACCTCTCTTTCTGGGCGTTGGACACAAGTTTTAACTGATGAATCTGTTATATTGCCTTCTACTGAAGAAAAAGAAATTGGAGTGGATGCTGCTTTCATACAAAATGAGGTAAAAAATAAACTCCAAGGCAATAATTCTATTTCTTAAATAAATTAGAGCCACAAAAGCTGCAGTGAATTTTGAAAGCAATGTCTGCCTCTTTGGCATTTTGCATAGGCTTAATGTTTCAGTTCATGTTATATTTGATGACAATGTAAGAGCAGCCACACTGGATCAGGTCAGAGTTTCTGGCCCACTTACATTCTTGCCAGCCTTTACATTTTTAAATGACAACATTGTGTTATTTAATCTGATTTGTAATAGCTATTGATCTAAATATGTAGATAATTAAAGAGAAATTTTCGTGTGACAAGCCTTTTGGGGTTGTTTTGATCGTGTTCTCTTTTTACAGGTACTAGGTGATTGCTGTTTGTGTTCTTTTGTATTTTACTCTGGTGAGTGTTTGATGCTCACATTTTTGATTCTTCGATGGCATGAAAATACCTTTAAAAATATTAGGTAAGTTCGAAGATATCTGAAGTTACAGCAGCATCAGGAATATTTTAATTATTTTTTGGAGCTGGGATTCAGAGATGCAAATGAACACATTTACATGGATGTTCCATTAACCTATGGTTATGAGAACCTATTTATGTTTACATGTGGATGTTTATAGTATGCCCTCTGTCATTTTAAAGCCATTCTCCCCTGTCCTTTACATGCCCCTTGTAGAATGTGTTTAATACAACAGCATTTATTTATATATTCCTTACTTCATTATTAGCTTACACCTAGATAATACTGGGAATATATATCATTCTGTGTGGGTAGCTGTGTATGCCTGTTGGCACATGTGTTTTAGTTTCATTGTTTTTTGCATGATGATGATAGAGTGTACTTTTCTTGTTTCTTGTTATATTGCTTGTATATCTTATATTTTCTTATATTTCTTGTACTGTGCAGCCATGAATGCCTTGACTACCTCTTCCTCTTCATTATGTGGATTTGCATATTTTATGGGTTTTCTGTTGCCCTTTCCATTTCTTTTGCTTGATGTGAAAGTCTATGTGTGCATTTCTTTATCTGGATTGGGGCCAAGTATTGAAATAGTTACACTGATACAACCACTTAAAAATGCTATTGAGTAATAATCAGGAGCACGTGTATAGTCCATTCTTCTTCCTAGGTGACACATGTCTATGAGTTCAAATGGATATGCCCTCTGCAGGTGTTATTTTAATAACTTGCCAAAATTTTGCCCTGCACATGATGTGGTACCACTACTTGTGTTATATGATGTCCTTTTGATATTTAGTAGTGATGTCCTACTTGACCTAATCTTCAGTTTATCAGTGGCATGGTAATTCCTTTCTGATACTAAATAAAAAATGAAATAGAGCGTAATATACCCAGTGCAGAAATGCATGTGTATGTATGTAGCTAGCTAGCTATCCACACCATAGTAATTGCAGCCTAAAATTGTAACTACGTTTCTATTATGCCAACTTATGCTTAGTTTCATTGCTTGCTGTTATTTAATTCATTTTTGCATATTAATGCTTTTTTTTTTCTTTCCTGTCAGTTAGATGGTATACTTCAAGACAGATTCTGTCTTGTGTTTTCTGTCATGTTCTGAATCTTCATAGTATCACAGAATGCTTTGGATTGAAAGGGACCTGTAAAGGTCACATAGTTCAACCTCCCTGCCATGGGTAGGAACACCTTCCACTAGGTGTTACTGGAATCATAATCCAACATCTCATTAAACGCTTCCAGTGATGGGTCATCCACAAATTTTTGTTCAGAGCCACATGCTGTTGATTTTCAAATTCTGAGTAATCCTGAGGTGGATGGTGTTACAAGGTCTGGGGAAGCTGCTTCTGGCTAGAATGCAAGTGCCTCAGTTATATGTCATTGATCTGTATATATTTGCATGTTCTAGACTTATAAATCCCATAAAAATCCCATCCCATAAAAATAACTCCTAGTGATCAGAAATAATTTTTGAACTTGTGTAAGTGCAAAATATTTTTTCATTTGTAAGGCATTTGAAGAAAAACAGGGGTTTTTTTTTGTTTTTTTTTTTTTTTTTTTTTACTAGCTCATGCTTTATATGGTTTTGTCTTGCATGGTTTTTTACTCTATAGGAATAACCCCATTCTGCAAAATGAAGTAACCACTTGGTTTTGTTATCTTTTTGTTGGCATTCAGTTCTTTGCCATACCAGATCCAGTGGGTACAGCAGACTTGTTCTCTTGTTAATTTGGTACCTCAGTGTGTGTCTGTAAAGTCAAGAGGAGCTCTGCTATGTGCATTTGCAAGAGATGGACTTCTGCTTGCAGTAGCTGTAAATCAGACTGATCCAAAGGTCTGTATGACAGTGCATCATTTTAGCTAAGAGTTCAGTTTAAATGAAGTAGTAACAAGGATTTAAAAACAGAGTTTTGGAATGATTTTAGCACTCATAAGGCAACATGAAATTATATCTACATTGATATCCCTGGCTAAAAACTTTTACTACAGCTCATAATTGTTTATGTGTGGTGTTCAGTTAGAAGTTGGTGTAAGATCCTGTCATTTCTAAGCTCTAATAAAAAAGAAATTAATTTCAATTACTGCATCATATCTGCAAAGATTCTAGGTGACTCTCAGTCAAGCCTCAGCCTGACATGTTTTGGACTTCATTATATTATTCCTATTAATAACTCAGAGGTCAAATTTTAATGTAGTTTTTAATGCTAGTGATGATAGGGAAAATGGACCCGTTTTTTGATGTACCAGATTGGGTTGGTACAATTCTTCAAAGCTCCAGTTGTTAATTACCACAAAGACTAAAGAAGAGTGATCTTATATTGAGTGTTTTAGAAAAAAGTTACATTAAAAATGTTACATTAAAAAGAAGATTGAATTACATATTAAGTATGTAATAGTCCTTAGTTCTATTTCAAGTGTAGAACAATGTGTAGAATTCAATAAATGTTCAAATAGTAACAAATAATGAAATGCAATGTAATTTCCATATATAATGATGTTACCAGTCCACCAAATTTAATGCATAAGTGAGTAGTAGACTTTTTTTTACAATAATGGCATTTTGATACAAACATTTATGATGTCTTTATTTTTTCTTTCTAGGCAACTCAGGTTTTGTTTCTGAACACCTTGAATTTTGTAACAGTTTCGGGTAGCCTGAAAGGTTGTAGTAGCAAGAGTAGCATGACCCCATCCAGGTTCATCAGGTTAGTAAATGGTGCTGTTTCTGCTGCTGTTGTGGATCTTTTGGTTTTGTGTTATGGTTTGTTTGTTTATTTTATAACTATCCTAACCCTCTGATGCTGAAGTTTGACAGAGAAAAAATATTTTTTTACTTGTCCAATTTAGATCTTACTGGGTTGGCGATATGAGTTGGACTCCTGATAGCCTTTTCTTGGCTTGCATGTTAAAACGCGGATGTTTGGTTTTATTGACATGTATGGGGGAATTGCTGACCTTAATTGCTTCTGGATGCTCTGTAGAATTTGGACCAGCACAGTTTATTCCATTTCATCCACTAATAACATACAGGTAAAAGGATTTAAAAAGGTTTATATGTATTCTGTATTCTGGTCTTACCTTACTTTCTATCATATTTATTATAATTTTGCATAAATGTTATCTTTCAAATTCACTCTTTTGCTTTTCATGTGTCTTTCCAATATCTGTTTCTCATTCATAGTTCTCTTCTATTTCTTATAATGCATTTGTCGTGATGAAAATTGACATTGTGACAATGTAAGTATACATAAAGTGATTTGTTTTCCTAAAAGTGTTTTAATTTATTAGTAATTAAAATTAGCATGTTTTTATGATATAAGAAGAAATTAAACTTGCAGAAGTGCTAAAAGTGCAAGTTTATTTTAATCCAGTCCTATTTCTCTGCTCATTGCTTAATTTACATATAGAACCTGATGTAAGGTATTGTAAATGACATATTTGCATGGACAGAAAGTAATTGGTTTTTAAAATGTTATTTTGGGATTCTCTGGGTCTAAGTTCTGAGATTATGCTGCTGGGTGCATGAGAGAGTAGGAGGATCTTTGATAACACACTTTAGCATAAAGTGAAAGTAACACAGTCTAAATAGAGAAAAAAATAAAGTCTAAACTTTATTTTTTTAAGATCTTAGTAACTTTGCATGCCTTAACCAAATAGTGTGTAAATATAACAGCTTGTGAAGACATTCAAAGCAGTATATTACCTTCTTACACTATCTGGTTGAAAAATCAGATACTGAAATATATTAAAATACATGAATTATGATGATATATTGAATGAATGCAGCCACTTTTTATTTAATAAACTTAAACAGTGTGTTATGTGGCTAATATTAGAATACATGTATTACACAGTTTTCTGAAACTCAGTAAGGAGGGATTTCTGTATAAGAAAAACCATTTTGAAAGAGAAGATGTGTGTGTTTTTAAAATTTTTCTGTTGAATATCTGAACTGATGCTGAAATTGTAAGATTCAGATTTTTGAGGAGTTCTTTCATATATTACTTTCTTAGCCTAGCCCTCCAAATTTCATCTTCAAGTATTTGTCATACCAAATACTAGCTAGATAAGAATGTGTGATATAGAAATTTAGACTCTAATTATGAAAAAATACAGTTATTACTAATGAAATAGTAAGTGGATACTGAAAGCTGGTTTTAATTTATTTAAATTCAAAGAAGTTGCAGTTTTAGTAAAATATTGGCATCTTGCAAGCATAAATAGTTTCATCCAGAGTGCTCATCCTGCAAAAGTGTAGACACTTCTCTAGGATTCTGAGGTGATTTATTCAGATAGTAGATTGCATGGTATTACATGTTCTGAAATTATTCTGTTCATGATTATTACATATGATAGTTACTTCTTAATTTTTGATGTATTTCGATTTTAGACAGCACCACTCTTGTTGTCGAGATTCCAGCCAGTCTCTTGGTTCTTCAGATTCTGACCGTGACCTCCTGAAACAGAGATTCTCTGTTGCTTCACATCCAAGACTACCCTACCTCATTGTCTCTGATGGATACATGATAACACTGCTAAGATTTCCTAACAACTTTTCACCATCAGGATTTATGAGATCCCTTTTGCTTGATTCAGCCCAACAGCTTGAAAACATCCGTCAGAATTTGATGAACTTCAAGGTGGAGTTATGAACTATTTTGTAGGTTTTTAAGTGAAAAATTTCAGGTGCATGAAAAGTGTAAATTGAAGACCAAGTACCTTTGAATTATAAAGTTGTTTAAGTAACCACTTTGATCTGCAAAGCAATGAAGACAGATTTCCTGAAATTTTATACCTTTGATGTCTGGGTGATATTTCAGGAAAGTAGAGCTGTCACTATATTATTTTCCTGTAACTGTAAAAGAAACAGGGATTTCTCTATCTGTAGAGTTGATTTGGGATGTTGACAGGTGCTACTCTTGTCAACTTTCAGAGTGATGCAGAAAGAACTCTGGAAATCCTCTATAACTTAGTCCCTGTAGTAGTGCATACATTTGTCCATTAGGTCTTCAATCAAGGGTGGCAATTAAAGCTTAGTTAAACCATTTCTGTTTCATTTTGTGTCACTTCTGAATTGAGCTATGTCTGGGAGAAGGGAAGCCAGGTCCCTTTCTTCCCTTGAATGAAGAGGTCTTGCAACTGTTGCTGACCACAGAAGATATAACAGATATTTAGTTCAGAATATTTGCTTTTACTGATAAAATGCAGCTTTTCTTCTAATTCAATTTCTATTCTGATTTTTGGAGAAATGAGCTATCATGCTATTCCTGCATAAGCTAGAATAGTGAGCAAGGATTTTGAAAGAGATATGATACTAGTAAAAATGCTGCAAAACCCTACATACAGGCAAATTTCTAGGGCTTTTTCAGGCATCAAGAAAGCAGATTCTTTCAGTATGAAATAAACTAAAGCTGTCTGGTGTGAGAGAATTCTGCTTCCCCAAAGCATGGTCAAATGGTAGTTTGTGTCTGTGCAACAGATGCTTGCTGACCTGTTCTCCCTGGGACTTTTGAACTGAAGCTTTTTCAACAGTAACCAAGTTCCTTGAATTGTTTAGAAACTGTCTGTCTTGCTAGAAACTGATGTTTTCTGTTATTGTTATTTCTTTCAGTGTAAAGGGAGATCTCGGTACTTACGATCACTGTTGTCTTTAAAAGCCAGTCTTTTAAAACAAGTTCAAAATCAAAGTTCTATCTTTTCCACCATTCCGAGATTCTTGGAGGAGGACACAACAGAAATGAATGAGAAAACCATGGATTTACTGGTACTTAATAGCATTTTCCCACTTATAGTGAAATTATGTATGTTTAAGGTATTCTAAATGGAAATAACTGTGGGGGTTTTTAAAAAAAATAATAGGTTTATTTATCCTAACTAGTGTTTTTAAAATCATTCAATATTCTCATTTTCTTTATAGACATGAGGAATATGCTTATTTTCTCAAACTGATACTTGATTTTTAGTTTTAAGCAAGTTATTTCTTTCAGCATGTGTTGACTTCTTGAAGAGTATCTGACAATATACATATCTGTCAGTTTGTGGTGTTTCAATACATGGAATGGTTTGTGTTGGAAGAGACCTTAAGGATCGTCCAGTTCCAACCCCCTGCCAGAGTGAGGAACACCTTTCATTAGACCAGACTGCTCAAAGCCCCATCCAACCTTGTCTTGGACATTTCATGCATAGGGCAGACACTGTTTCTCTGGGCAACCCATTCCAGAGTCTCAGCACTTTGACAGTAAAGAATTTCTGCCTAATATCTAAGCCTGCCCTCTCTCAGTTTAAAATCAATGTACCTTGTCCTGTCACTATGTGTCCATGTCAAAAGTCTCTTACTCTCTTTTGTAATGAAAGGTGCTATAAAGTCTCCCAAGAAACCTAATGCTTTAGCTTCACTTTAAAATAAAATGTAACATTAGCTATTAGATGTACTGCGGCTGTAGATTATCTTAACAAGAGTCTTATTCTTAATAAATATGGTACTTATCTTTATCCTGAGTTTTAGAGGGTTCTTTAATCAGTTCCAAAATCTGTATTGTCTTTTGGAAGAGTAGCCCTGTGATCATAGTTACTGAACAGCCTTTCCCAACTTCATTTCATGCTTTTGAGTTTTGGTTTTTCTTTGAAGTTTTTGAGCTTTCATTGAATGACTTTTATATCTTACAGGTATCTGGCAAAATCTCTGTCTTGTACTCTAGGTTTAATGAAGGATGGAGTTTCACTTTCTGGTATAAAATCTGCTGCTGTGTTGGCAGTGTAATTTTGTTAGGTAATTTAATTTGTCTGCCCAACTGTTCTGCAAATAACATTCCATTTGAGATTGAGATGAAATTGCAGATTATTAAACACACTAGCATTTAAGCAAGGTAATTAAGCATAAAAACTTCATTTATGAGACTGACTAAATGATGATTCTTTGCAGTCTAAGTGTGCTCTCTCTCTCTCAGTAAACTTGGATTAAACTGTTGATTTTTCATTTGTCTGATTTAGGACCTTGAAGAAGAATCAGACAATGGAAAGCAGTTTTACAATAGCCCTTCCAGCTTCTATAACCAAAGAATCTATTCGTCTGTTGGTAAAGCTGATGAAGGTTGCTTAGAATTTGCATCAATGTTTGATACCATCCATGCAGAAGATGATATTGAAGAGAAAGATAAATCAGCATTGGAACTATATTCCATTCAGAAGAACCTCCTTGGTGCATGGCAGATAGGGATTTCAAAAAATATAGAAGAGAAAGATGCATTACTGAATTACACAGTGAACTGCATTATCCATTTTTTCAGCATTATTCAGTTTGTGAAATGTACTTTGCTAAACCAGGATGCATTTTTAAACAAGTCTCTGAAGACTACTCAGTGGATGCATTTTGTCCTGAAATATTTTCAGCAGTGTTTGACTGTCTTGTACTGGCATTCAAGAGCCAGTGTGACTGGGCATGTGGCAAAGTTGACATTCGAAACTTTAAAACTGATGTTTATACAGCAACAAGATCAGTTGTTCTCAAAAAACCTTTTGGCATGCTTCTGTCTTTTGAAAATGGTTTCTCACACCCTAAGCAGAGTATGTGTACTACAGTATGAGAATTTTTTTGCCTCTCCTGACAGTAATACTCTTGTGGAACTTGACTCTCTCACAGTGCCTGTTTTCTTAGTTCTTGATGAGAATACTACTCAGCAGTTTAGCTCACTGAAATCTCTGCTTAGAGAGTGTCCTCAAGTAATCCATGATGCAAAAACAGAAAAAAGGTATGAATAAGCTTTGCATGGGGAAAAAAATATACAGCAAAACTTCGTGATCAGGCCCAGAGATCACAGGTTTATGAAAGGCAGATCCTGTGTGAACAGCCTGGTCTTCTGTGACAGGTGACCTACTTGATGGATGTGAAGGGCTGTGGATATTGTGGATATTGTCTACCTGGACTTTAGTAAAACCTTTGTTATAGGCTCCCACAACTTTCTTCTGGAGAAATTGGCTGCTCATGGCTTGGATAAAAGCACTCTTTGCTGGGTTAAAATTAATTAATGGCTGATGGCTGGGCCTAGGAAGTGCTGGTGAATGGAGTTACATCCAGCTGCAGCTAGTTGCTGTGGTGTTCCCAAAGGCTCAGTATTGGGGCCAGCCCTGATTAATATATTTATCAATGATCGGGGTGAGGGTATCGGGAGCACCTTCAGTCAATTCACAGATAATACTCAGTTGGGTGGGAATGTTGGTCTGCTGGGGGGCAGAAAGGCTCTGCAGAAGAATCTGGTCTAGCTGCATTGATAGTCTGAAGCTAATGGTGTGAGGTTCAACAAGGCCAAGTACCAGGTCCTGCCCTCGGGTCACAACAACCTTGTGCAGCATCACATGCTGGGGTAGAGTAGCTGGAAAGCTGCCCAGCAGAAAAGGTCCTGGGGACATATGTTGACAGCAGCTGCACATGAGCAGGTGTATGCCCAGATGGCCAAAAAAGGCCAATGGAATCCTGGCAGCAGGACCAGAGAAGTGACAGTTGTTCTGTATTTGGCACTGGTGAGGCAGCACATCAAGTCCTGTGTCCAACCCTAGGTCCCCCAGTATCTGAAAGGGTTGTCAAGCATTGGACCAGGCTGCCTGGGGAAGTGGGCTGAGTCTCCGTTCCTGTAGGTATTTAAAAGATGTGTAGCTGTGGTGTTAAGGGACATAGTTTAGAAGTGGGATTGGCAATGTTAATGGTTGGAGACAGTAATCCTAAGGGTGTTTTCCAGCCTAAGTGGTTCTGTATGATAGAAAGAAAATGGTATGAGTTAAACTATAATGAAATATCCTTTTGGGGTTTTTTTGCCACCTTTTACTCCATGGAAAGTCATGATAAACAAAGCATACGGATTAAGGCTCAGACCTATATTTGAATATAGTTTGGTTGTGGTGACTAAACTATAACTGCAAATCAGTTTGGAGACAATGGATGGGTTGACAGCTGACACCAGACCTGGTAGTGCAGCATCAATCCAGATATTGAAATTTAGATGCTTTAACTGTCTCTTGTGCATTTCACTCTTTCCTAGTTGCAAAGTATACGGAGCAAGAGTCTGCTCATATGCAGTATGTCAGTGATGTCAGTCAGCAAAGTTTTTATTCATTATGGATGTGATGTCTCAGAGCGATAAGAAAAACCCATTTGTGGAAACTAATTTACTTAAACTGTCAGAGCTATTTCTTCCACACACATAAACTTGACTGAAGTGTGCTGTCCAACTTTTGGGAAAGTATACTGTTACCACTATTTCTAGAGTACAGAGTATTTCTGTGCTGCAAAACTCCAGTGAATCAAAGTGTGCTGTTCACATGAGCAGGCTTCTGCTTTCCAGAGATTTAAAACTTAAGTAGCATTATAACTCACAAATTAATTCCTACTACAGTGAAAGGTAGTAATCAGTAATCCTTAAATATAGTAAATATCAGTAATCCTTTAGTATAGTACTATGTTCACTGCAAATCTGATATGCAAGTTTCAGTTGTCTCAGAGAAGATAATCCATATTTTTGATTAATTGTGCTTGAGGTGCTGAGCACTGTGCATACGACTGACTCTGTGGTAATTATGAACCCAGTAGTACTTCAAGATGCAGATGTGTTTCAGTTCTGTGCAAACTTTTTTAAGTCTCTAGCAACGTGTATTTGCTTGTATTGTTAAGCTGACTATGTGTCTGAGCTGGTACATCTAATAGAACTGTGCTAGGTGACAGGGACTTGCCAGCCCTAAAACCATACTCTGCAATCTTGTTTTATTGTCTTTGCTTTTCTGTGTTACGCTTAGGTTTTTTAATCAGTCTTGTTTATAAAGATAGTAATACCTGTTCTGAGATTCTCTAAGATTATTTCATTTCCCCATTGTTTAGCTAGCAAAGGGATTAATTTTGGGGATGTTTAGGTTCTTAAAGTAGATTGCTGTGCTTAAGAAAATTCAGAAGAATAATGTTTGTTAGTCAAAAATGAGGCAAGAAGTGCTTCATTTTTTCCCCTCACCCAAGTCAAGAAAGTAGTTCATACAACTTATTTTTCAGGTGTATAATGCAAAATAAAAGAACATAAGAAATTGATGTAGGCAACTTCTTTAATTCTTGCTTAATTTCATAATACTGTACTTCTTGAATTACAGGTTGACTGTACTATGGCAACTGTTGTATAAGAAAGTGGTTTGGTATCAGGTGCAGCTAAAAAGAAAAGTGAACAAAAGTGCAGAAGAGGTTTCTGTTGTCTCATTGCTTTTAAGTCATATACAAGCAGCCATCCAGTCTTCAGGAGTGACATTAGAACAACATATGAAGATTAATTCTGTGTCTGGTTAGTAAAAATGTTAATTGAAAACTAGGAAAATTAGGTCCAACTGTTACAAACAGTAAATGACTACCAGATTTTTTTGAAAAGTGAACATTGGGACTTCTCTTAAAATTCTTACCATAATTCTGTCTTAAATACTTAGTGTCCTGGTATGTCTATAGATTGCATTATAATCTTTAGAGCTTGTTGAGCTGAATAAAGAGACTGAATTGACTTCAGTTTGCTTTGAGCCATGTCGTGAAGAATCTGAATGGAAGATTTTAATTCTGAACTCCTGTGTTGTTTCTTCTGAAGTAAATGCCACACATCACAGTGTGTCTCTTACTGGATTTCTGTGTAGAAAGATTGTTCACTCCTTGTGGCCATTGTGGGTATGAGCATTTTGTATTCACAAATGTAGTCAGCTTGAACTAAGCATCTAAATTAGTGTAAGCTAAGATACTTGGTAATCTAGCATATTTATTTTCCTAATAGTATACAGTTGTAGCCTAATTTCTTACACTTTGCTGTTCGATGTTCTACCTTCTTTTGAATTCTACACTGCTAAGCCCAGCTTCCCATTTATGTCTCCCTTTACAATTCTGTTTCCTTGCCATGTTCTTGATCTCTGTCCCTTAAAAGATAGTTCTAACTTCTCTTCCTATAGCACTCCATACAATACATAAGCTCCTTCTGAAGGAGAGCTCATACATTACGTGTCCTGGTAAGGAGTATTCAAAGTCATCTTCTCTCTCAGATGCTCAAAACTTAGACTTAATTATGAGAATAGAAGTTTACTGGGGGACTCACATATTTTGTTCTGCTTTCAGTAAATCTCTGATGCTGAAATAAGAGCATATGTATTTGTAAATGTAAAAGTAACTACTAAAAGTAGAGTTTTTAATTTGTTACTATGTGACTTTTACAGGTGAGGAGCAGTTCCTTTTAGGCTCATACAGAGAATCTGTGGACATTTGGAAAAGATCTCTTTGTGAACTCAAGACAAATGGTAAGGGATAAAATCTTTGAGAGTGGAGGGGGTGAGTGGTATAATCATTTTACATTTGTGACTCTGTTTGCCCTTCAGAAAGAGGGGGTGAGATGAATAAAGGATGCATATTTGAAATTAAGATGGGATGAATAGACACCAGTCAAAACTTAAGTCTGGTTGCTCTCTGAGAGAATTCTGTGCATTTCTATTTTAATATCAGAGCTTTCTTGTGATTATGAAGTACTTGGTACAGGGAACTTCTAGATAAATTTGTGAGCAAGAATGAGACAAAAACAGATGAAGAAAAAATCAATTTCTTTAGTAGTTGTAAAGTTAAAAGAATTAGTGTTTGGAGAGTAACAAAACAAAACTTGTGTCAGGAGTTTTTGTAAGAGTTGATTTGAAACAGATATACCAGAGTTTCTTTTCCAGGCATCATAAGAAAATTTTCTGCTGGTTATTAGAATAAAGAATACTTCATAGAGGAAAAAAATTCAGAATATTGGAGGCTTGGTGGATGTCTAAGCAACTCTACTGTGGTTCAGGCATTCTTTATTTGAAGGCTAGACTTCCTTAAGCTCTCCTTTGTTTGTCTGTGTCTTAACAGTTATTCATAGTATTGTTTTGCCATATCTCTAGAAATGAAAATGTTGTGGATGCGCATTAACTTACTAGGGACTTAGAGGTTGTATAGAAGGATCATATCCTAAAGTAGCTGCTCCTGATTTCTACTCCTCAAAGTGTATTGTTTATGTAGATGTGTTTCTGGAGAGAAAAGAAATAGTACTTTCACTTGCTACTTTTCTTTTTGTGTTTATTGTTTCTCTTCCACTTGGCCTTGTACCTTTTTTTCATTTTTTAATTCAGGAGGAAAAAGAGCATGTTTTCTTCAGCGTAGATACTATCTTGCAATATTGTTTTGTCACTTGTATCAATATAACGTGTGTGAAGCTCAGGGACTCTGCGATCATCTGGTAAGAGAGATTCTAAGGCGATCACAGCTCTCTACAAGTCAGGTGGAAGAATTTTCTGGTACGTTTACTTTGCCTAAAAGTGTGATAATGTATGTTGACACTGTTTGAAGAACCCAGTGTCTAATTTCTTTGCCCTCACATGCACATGTGACAGCTTTTGATGCTTTTCACTTTACACTGTTTTCAGTGACTTTTTCTGATCTTCAGATGATATTTCAACTGCACTTGTTGGAATATGTGTTTAGACAACTCTCATTGTCTACTAGTCACCTGCTAAGTATTTTTCAACTCAAATCCTCTCAAAGAAGGACTTTGAATAAGAAAAATAAGGGGGAAATTATGTGATTTGATTTGATAGTAATTTATCATTAAATTTATTTATGATTAAATAATTTTAGCATTCAAATTTAAAATAATTTTTATCATATTGTTTTAATTCTATATTTCTTTTTTTAGATATCAAGTATGTTCAGCATGAATTATGGATGGTAACCAGCATTCATACTGACACTGCCATGGCTGTGATTCAATCCATGGCACGATTCATGGCTGCTTATTTCACAAAGCAGCTGCTCTACATCTTTCCTCCCCACAATGTTGACATCCTTCATCCACTTCACATCAAACAAGGTATTTCCTGTATAAGCTGTTCTAGTTGCTTAAATCTCACAATTTTTTCACACGTATCAGTGATGTCTGTTATGCTTTAACTTGACGATCAAGTTAGCTTTTCAGTGGAGTAGGAGACAGAAAAAAACCATGAGGATGTCACAAAAAAAGTGTAGCTGATACAATTTTTGTTCCAACAGATAGGATCACTTAGTTGGGAAGATACCTGTAAGATCATTGTGTCCAGCCATTAACATTGTCAAGCCCACCACTAAACCATGTCCCTAAACAGCACAGCGTCGCATCTTTAAAATACCTACAGGAATGGAGATTCAACCCACCTTCCTGGGCAGCCAGGTCCAATGCTTGACAACACTTGTAGAGGGTTCCTGATATCCAGTATAAACCTCCCCTGGCATAACTTGAAGCCATTTCCTCTTCTGTCTCTTGGCACTTGGGAGAAAAGATGGATCCCAACATGGCTACAGCCTGCCTGCCTTCAAGGAGTGATAAAGTCTTCCCTGAGCCTCCTCTTCTCCAGGCTGCCTCAGCTGCTTCTCACAAGACCTGTGCTCCAGACCCTTCCCTTGTTACCCTTTTCTGGACATGCTCCAGCACCTCAATGTCTTTCTTGTACTGAGGGGCCCAAAACTAACCCCAGCATTCAAGCTGACCTCACCAGTGCTGAGTACAGAGGGACAATCACTACCCAAGTTCCACTGGCCACACTATTCCTGATACAAGCCAGGATGCCCTTGGCTTCCTTGGCCATCTGGACACACAGTGGCTCATGTTCAACCTCTGTCAAGCAACATGCCCAGGTCCTTTTCCACTGGACAGCTTTCTAGGCACTCTTCCCCCGGCATGTAGTCTAGGCAGGGGTTGTTGTGATCCAAGTGCAGGACCTGACATGTGGCCTTTTAAAATACCATATAATAGTCAATCCAGAACCCTCTACAGAGCCTTCCCACACCCTGCCATAGAAGGAGATCAGGTTGGTCAAGCAGGACCTGCTTGTTTCGAATCCCTGCTGTCTGGGCCTGATCCTGGTTGTCCTGTATGTGTCTCATGATGGCTCTCAAGATGATCCATGACTTTCCTCTGCATCACAGTCAGGCTGACAGGTCTGTAGTTCTCCACACCCTTCTTCCACCTCTTCCTATCAATGGGTGTCCCTTTTGCCAGCCTCTGGTCAGCTGGAACCTTCCTGGTGAGCCAGGACCATGGGTAATGATGGAAGCTGGCTCAGTGAGTATTTCCTCCAGCTCCCTCAGTACCCTTTGGTGGATCCCATCCAACCCAATAGAATTGTGTATGTCTACGTGGTGTATGGTTGCTGACCATTTTCCCTTGGACTGGGGTCTTCATTCTGTTCCCCGTTCCTGTCTTCTAGCTCAGAGGACTTGTTACTCAGAAAACTGGTTTGCTATTAAAGAATGAGGAAGGGAAGGCATTAAGTACCTCAGCCTTTTTATCATCCTTTGTCACAATTTTGCCTAAAGATCTGGCTCTGACTGACTTTGATCCTCCCAAAAGTGGGATAACACTAGTGCTGAAGAAGTACTTGAATCTGTGATCTGGTGTGACCGCAGCTGAAAAGCCAGAGGAAAGCATTTTTTGCTTATCTGACAGTCAAAGTCTTGGAATCCAAATCCAAATGCTTCAGACACCATCTGTCAAAGCAAATGGGAATGCCAGGTTGCTTGGCATTGAATCCAGTAGTACTTGTTAGTTTAAGTCCTGCTTCTTAGGATTTTTCTGAGAATTAGTGTTTATCACAGTGAGTGGTTTCAGAGAGATTCCATTTAAAGATTTCCTTTGTCAGGAAATTTTTGTTTTCAGACCTACTTTTTCATATCTTTGTGAGAATAAAGGTTTGTTTGGAAGCATTTGGTAGAGTACCAGTAAGTTCATATTATAATGCCATATATTTTTTTACAATATTAACTTATTTTGATTGATTAGGTTTTCTGTAGTGTATTTGAATACATTGAATGTTTTTAATGCTTCTGTACTACAGCATGCCCTGGTATCTACTTCTTTTTTCATGGTCTCTTTAATGCTTTATTTGGACAGCTTTCAAGATAAACCCTACAAAATAAAACCTTGATTTTAATACTTGATTAGGCGAAGATCAATGTACATGGTGAGACAATTGGGGTAAAATTACATTGTGCAAGTTGGATTAGTGTGAATATCTCCTAAGTAATGCCACTATCTGAGCAAAACAGAAGCTGTGAGAGGAGCAAATAACTCTTTAGGATTCATGTTGATCAGCACCTCTGCAGGAGAACTAGGAAGCAAAACCTTGAAAAACAAATCTAAATCTGAACAAAAAAGGACATAGTAAATTTGTCTCAAGTTTGTATCTATATACTACCCTAAAATCAAAGAATCACAGAATATTATATACTGTTCTTTCTCAAAAATGCATTTTAACGTTCTGTCTTTTGCAACAAGCAGAATGTGTACAAACAATATGGGTACACTAGGAAAACTCTAGGAATTTCGATTTATCTCATGTGTACCCTCTAGTATATGCTACAAATACGAAAAATATTTGCAAGTGGTCCATCAATGTGATTAAGTCTTTAAAGAGAAAAAAAAAACCCACAGATTTTGCACTTGCTGTCCTATCCAACATAATTGAGCAGGAAAATAGCCTATTCCGAACACACTCCTATACCATTGCATGAGCTGCATCTGCTGCTGCAGATGGACTTCCATAGCATACCTCTAATAAAAGTAAATTAATAATAAAAGCAGTTGTACACTGTAACTAATCCACAAGAATGTGAGCAAATAAATTCCAGATTATTCATGTGATAGCATGAGGATTTATGTAAACTTTTATATGTGCCTTTCATGTCACAGATTCACCTCCTCGTGTCATTCCACTGCAACACTGTTTGGTTACCAGAGCTGTCAGGGACCAGAAGCTTTCATCTGTGTGGACAGTTGAATATGCTCTTGATTTGTTCTTTATTGGTGGACTTATTCCAGAGGCTGTGTGGTTAGCACACACACTTGGGGACTGGAAGCTGTCTGTGTCAATTGGTCTGGCCTACCAGCTGTATTGTCAGAACTCTGAGGAGCTCTCAAGGTAAACTTGCTATTGGAATTAGTATACTATTTTTTGTTACATAGTTATTTCCATGAAGTTTATTGTGACAAGCCGTATATATTGCCTCAGAAGTTCATATTACCAGACTCCTACTAGGTGTGGAACTTAAGGTGGTGTGATTACTTATTTTGGCATAGCTATTAGCTTAACAGACCTTCATTGGATTATGTATGGATATGACTTAGTTATTCATGAGCACTTTCTTATTATATTTTCAGAATGAATAAACCAGAGTGTCACCTGCCATTAAGCTTATTACCAATGCAGACTTTTCGGGAAAAGTTACAGTGTTTGTTAGGACAGCCAGTAACTTCTGAAACATCAGGACATATTAAATACAAGAAGTTCACAGGTACTTAAAATGAAAAATAATTGTGGTTATTTTTCTTGTTATTTGACTAAATATACACTGTCTGAGAAAGAAACAATTACTGTGTCTTCTCCAGTGTGTGTATTACTGTTATAATATATTCAAGCACTTTAATTTCATGAGGGTGTATGTTTTGGCTTTGATCATTCCAGAAATGAAATAAATTATCAATCTTGTCTTCTCATTTGTATTGTCCAAACCTTTATTTGACCATATTTGATATTAACTTACTTGGAAGAAAACTGAATCTTCGTTACAACAAGCAAACAAAAAAAATTTATATGTTAACAAGTATGGAAAGTATCATCAAACTTGAAATCAGTTATAAGAAGTTAAGTTTTGCTTTTTCCTTTCTGATAAAGTGTATCCCCAGATCCAGCAGCTAGCAAGGCTAAGAGTGTATTCCCAGTAGGCACATACACAGCACCTATGTGGGTCTGGCCACACACAAACACCTACAGACCTGCTCACCACTCACTCAGGCAGCACCAACAGCCCTATCACCTTTCGCTCTCCTGTTAGTCAGGGTTAAGATTGGCGTATAGGTACCTGTTTGTACAGTGTGTGTCACTACAGTAGCTAGGCCAGTGGCAAGACCATTAGCTGAGTAGATGGCCAGCTGACCCAGTTGCTGAGTGTCACAGGTAGCTCATGTCTGTGTTTGTAAGCTCTCAAAACCCCAGCCCCTCTCTGCTTTCTGGTACTCAGAAAACTGACAACACCTACTCACAAACACCCTCTTCCCCCACACACATACACTGTCCATGCACCCCCACAGCAGCTGGCCTGGAGCACACCGTCCTGTCAGTATACAGGATACAGCAGACGCTTGGTCTGGGCTCCTCAGCCTGTCCGGGTGCCTGACCTTTAGAGACACACACATACCAATGTAAACACTGTATTTCTCGCATGTGGTCATGGCTCCCTTGGTCTCCCCTTGTCTTGCCCTTAGAGACATGAAGACACACAAGCAGGTCTCTCACTTGTCTCTGGCTGTTGGGCAGGTCTTCACTGAACCCTGCAGATACTGTGAGCTCCTAACTTAACTGCTGAAATTCCCACTGTTAGCTGGGTCAACCTGACCTTATTTGTGTTCTACAGAAAGTTTACTGGCACAATTTGTATATTTTATTATCTTTTTGTCTGAAAGCATTTCAAGTTCTTGTCAGCAGGTGGACCTACTTACTGATAAAAGACTTGCTTTAGTCATTATTAATAATATACGTGTTTATGCCTTTTTGGTAAGAATGATTTGCCAGAATGTTATGCCAAGCAAATGCCTGGCTAAAAAGTTCCATTGTTCTACCTAGAAAGGCAATAGCCGTCATGGTAGTGTTGAAAAACTTTAAATTAATAACTGAATACTAGTTTTTAATGCATGAGATCTTAAGCAGATGAGGTCTGTTATTGTAATATATGAATGCAAATTCAGAGAATGTAACCTCGTGTCACAATGAAAATCCATGTATTGATTCAATTAATCTGTCAGTTTCTGGGCTTAATATTTTATAGATCCCATTGAAGAGGAAGATGCAGATGTTCTTTATAGTTCAATACAGGAACTACTGAAAGCAGCTGTTATGGCAGATGTTGATATTCTCTCAGAGACATTTCAGCTTTTGATGGATTCTGCCAAGGATCTTTGCAGAAAGTTTTATGGTTTGGTTCCGGTTGGGCTCTGTCTTCCAGCACCACCATTGTACTGTCCTCAACCAGCTTCTCTCAGTGAAGTAAGTCTGTTTCTTGTGTGTTTGTTTGATGGTATTTATGAATCTTTATGAGCTTTATTCTAGTTCTTTTGAGCTCATTTTTCTGTTTTCTTCCTTGTCTGCTCATCTGCCCAGGTAGCACAGCAGTGATGAGAAAGGATGTGTGCCTCTGTGTTTTTTCCATAAATGATCTATGCTGTAAGAAGACAAGATTAGGACTAGTAATAGCATTTAGTTATATGTCCTTTCTAATTTTGAGCTTTGTTTGTCTTTGCATTTTTAGGAAGACAGTGATGACATTCTTTTAAAAACAGAGAAAGAAGTCCGTCAGAAAGTGTCAGGAGTTCTTCAGCGAATTATCTTGCTCTTCCGGGCTGCTCATTGTTCTTGCTCTGCAGCACAGTGGTATATTACACAACTGAAGTGGGCAAGAAAAGTTATGCAGAAAGTAAACATTTAACTTTCTATTTTTAACTTGAATATCAATTGTAAATATTATTAATAAGTTTGCAGCTGCAGAAGCATTCAATCTCACCTTGGCTTTGATGTCATGTTTTGTACATGTCATCTTCTAGTTCTATACTTCATGCTCATTTTTATAGGAAACCAGAACTTAAAGATAGAGGGTATCTAAATCATAAGGTGTTTCCTTTTGGGTCTTTCTATACCTACTTGGTAACCTATGAATTCATTTATTTTCCATTAAAAAGAAAAAAAAAGATTTTAATTGGAAGTTATAGCTGTGAGCTGGATATATGCTCCAAATCATTAGGGTTGAATATTAACATAGAAGGTAATGCTCACTTCAGGTAGAGGGATCATCTTAGTGCACAGAACTTGTAAGATCTCATTTTACTTTTGTACAGTTTGTTTGCACAGGATCAAATTCAGAATAAATTGATTAAATTTTTTTGTGTACAATCAGTCTTTTCTTAGGTCATTGTAACACAGCTACTTAAAGAAGATGAGAGTGTGTATGGCTCTCTGTTCCTGCAACCCCCCTGCACCAGCATTAATGCAGTGATTGAGAGCAGGAACTGATCTGACTGAAAAGTATTTACTTCTGTTTGCATGGTCACATCCCTATGGTTGGCATGGGGAGCTGGTCAGACATTTCAACTGAAACTGGAGGCAAAGCCTTGGTGACAGCACCCTGGACTGTGTTGAATCAGTTCTTGATTGTGATCTTAGTTCTTATACTTTGTGTTACTCTTGTATTTCCTGGTAATCATGACTACCATTCAAACAAAAGCATTCTTTGTGCCATAGTTCATATTAAACATATTCCTTTAAATGAATTTTCAGAATAGTGATTTGAAGAAAATCAAAAGCAAGCTTCAGGGAGTTTTGCTGATCTTGGCAGTATTCTAACAACTGAAAGGCTGTGTATTTAGTAGTGATACATGTAAAATGTTAACTGATTTTTATTTCCATTTTGATTGTTTATTTACCTGTTATTATAGATTCGAATGAAAGGTTCTCTTCCTTTGCTGAGTCCATTCCCAGAGACTTTACTTTGTTACTGCAATTTTCGCACTGCTCTTTATGGATCTACATCTTCTGGAGCCCATCAGTTTGATGACATTACCTGTAAAATTTTAGGTCTGTATGGAGTAACATAAAGTAATTTAGAGCTGGAAAAAAGAACACCAGTGAAAATCCACAGCTGGCATATTAGGTTGAAATAGTATATTGCAATGTGTCAGGAACACATTTCATTTCCAGCTTTTATGTTAATTACTGAAACTCTTATTCTAAAATGTACTGTTCTGTATTGGGTGTGGGGGGTCATGTTACAGACCTGATAGATGTGAAAGAACATGAACACTAAGTGGGACTAAGGAGCTGTAGCTCCAGAACAATACTGAAAAATGTCAGGCTACTCTATTTAATTTATTTAAATAGAATCTCATCATATTGCATTTTTTTATTGTAGGTTGGTTCAGAGAGTTCTGTGCATTATGTTGGATGTTTCATGTTCGTGAAAAATTATCTGACAACTGTAGGCGGTACCAAACTGCAAGGGAAGATATTAACAATATCAAGGTAGTTGTTTTCCTAATATAGTAGAGATACATCTTAATTGCATGAAGGTATGAGAATAATTCTAAAGATCTGCTGTATATTTCTGTGAGAACTTCTATTTGCTTAACAGAACAAAACGAGCACAGTGCTTGCAATGTGAATTACATATTTGATGCTATGGAGCAGTGTGCTGTGCGTGTGATCTCCATCTTCCTGACAGTATTTCTGTTAGGCTTTTGCTTGGTACTTGAGTCAGATGAGCTGCCAGAAAAGCAATAGCTTCTACACTTGTTGACCTAAGAATTTACTTTCTGATTTGGTTTTTTTCCCTATTAGGTCAAGATATTAGGTCAAGATATTTTGAGAATTTCCTGAATAATACATACTTAGTACACAAAATATGGGGTTTATGGTGTGCTAAATATACATGTTTGTCAGAAAGAATAATGAAAAAGATTAAAATTTGATCATGTTTTCTCTACTTACACCTTCTCAATTGATGTCAGAGGTCCAGGAAGAAAAAGAAAGGAACTACTAGTGTATTTGTCAGGTGTTCTGTAACAAGTCCAAGATTTTTCTTTACCAGAATAACTAAGCTTCAGATAAACAGCATGGCTCTGTTTCTAATTGTGGATTATTCTGATTTTACTGTACTTTGTCTGACAGTGACAAATGAGATAGAAAATACTGTTCAAAATAAACCAATCTATCTTAAAAACCTCTTACAAGGCTTAATTATCTTGCTCACAAGAAAGAATTTATGATCACCTGAAGTCAAAGTAGAATTACTTACTTCACAGTTTAGGCAAATCCTCAGGTTTTACTTGTGGCTGTAAACAAACTCTTCAGCTGTGTGCTAATAGAATTTTCCTAAGCCGGTTTTAAAAAGCCCTTTATTTTCTCTCTCTCTCTTATTTTTTTAACGTACGTTGTGATCCATTACAATGTTCATCTGTTTCCTGCCATCATATACTGCTCTGCTTGGCAGATAAGTTAGAGATACTTATTTTTAAGAAGCATTACTATTTGCAGTGTATGAATCATTTTGCTGAAGTACATTGTTTGTAGTAATTAATGTTTCTGGTAATTTTTTTAGGATCCAAATAAGAATGGATATGATGCCTACACAGTTGAGCATTGTCTGAATGCAGTGGAATGGGCTTGTCGAATGCTTCCTTTCTGCAGATTCATGAATGTTGAAGAATTAGTTCAGGATGTAATTTTAAGTCTGCTAGGAGAATTGCCACCAATAAAAAAGGTAAAAGACCTTAAAACTAGTATAAAAGCAATAGAGATTATCACAAATATTTCTCCTCCTTGGAAAACCTACTGGTTATATTTTCTCATGGTGTAAGTTATATGTGATAAGACACCTACTTGTATGATAGCTACTGGAAAAGATGCTTTCTTTTTTTGTGTAGGTGGCAGAGGTTTTTGTAAAAGCATTTCCTAATCCTGAAGATGTAAGAGTTCCACTAAGAGATAAATATCATGGACTTCTGCAGCGACTCAGACACAGTACTGCTAAAGGTAATGTTCATCATTCTTCCAGAAATCTTAAACAAGCTTTGGTTTTTATCCTAGTTATTAGTTTGCGACAGTACTTTCTGTCATATCCCATGCAAAACAATTATTGCCATTTTCAGTTGGACAACTTTGAGCTTTGTCACAAAGTCTGTGTTTTCTTTCTGATACGTATGATTTCTACACCAGCCACAGGGTATCATGGCTTTCAAAATGTTGATGTTTCTTCACATTATCACAATTTTTTGTTGAATTTATAAATGGCTCTAATTTATTATTTTAATTGAAATCTAATTCATGTCTCAATTTGAGAGACTAACTTAAAACTGAAAATTAAGACTGCAAACTTGGTTTTCTTTCTTTCAGAAGGTCCTGAAAGTGAAGAAATGATGTCTATACAAGCTGCTGAAGAAGTGAGGAAGAAGGCCTTGAGACGTGTATTAAAGAACATAGGCCCCATAGAAGTTAATATTTGGGAGCCAGTAGAAGAGGCAGCATCAAATGATGAGGAACACTGTTATGACAGATTCTCATTAGGTACTAGTCTAAGCACAAGCACACTTACTGATGTTGGGAATCCTCAGGTATATAATGATGCAGACACGCCAGACACACTTTCTGATGCTTTGTTTACTGAAGAAACAAGACCTCAAACACCTTCATTCCCAAGGTATGAAAAAATTGCAACAGAAGGCTTTTGACTTAAATTTGGGGGTGGGGGGGAAGAGTTGTCTCCTGCTGATCAAGTAGTCATCAAACAGGTAAATTGTCACTGTGGGTGATTTATCAAGTGAAGAATTACAGATTTCCTAAATCATAGAATTGCCAATGTTATATCAGTTAGTATATGACTAATAAATTATTGAAGTGTAAATTACTATCAGCTGTGTCTACATTTGTATATGTTACTGCCTAGTTTCTGTCTATGGATTTTGAATTTTATTAACTTGCCACCTATACATTGTACTAATGTAAATTTGGGGTTTTTGGCTGTTTTTAACTTTAGTGGAAGATAAGGAACTAATGTTGCATGTAACTCTTTTTAAAATGGATCTGGGTATTAATGTTCTTACATCTATTGTCTTACAGGGAAAATGAACTCCAACGACAAAGGGAAATAGGTAACAAAAATACCACACACACGATAAAAGCTCCTAACTGTAAAACAAAACATAAAGACAAAGTGTGTAGGAGAGACAGGCTTAATCAGCATAATTTGCCTGTAGTTGGTGCGTGGGAATTTGAACGTGATGATGATGAGTATGTTAGATTTTTAGAACTCTTTCTGAGTTACGTTCTTGAGAGAGACCTGATAAAGTACGGTGACCTTGGAATTCCATTTCTCACTAGCTTTTCTGGGCTGCTTCGAGAGCATGAATTGAACTCTCTCTTTTTTGATGTTCACACAACACTAAAACGTCGACAAAACAAAACTAGAAGTCCAAGTGTGTTTAGAGCAGGGTCTTGCTATACTGTCACCCTGGCATCCTGTGATCCTGAAGAAGTACCTGCCTGTAATGAAAACAAAAATATTTTGGAAAAACCAACAATTGTACAGTCTGTTGGGCAGACCACAGAACCTTCTGTGTGTAACCTAAAAAAAAGACTTAAAGAAGGCTTATTTGGTTTAAAATACAAACCAATATACAGAGCTCAGACTGACAATCAAGGAGTCAGTGTTGCACAAGCAAGCCAGACCTTTCGTAACCGTGCTTCCTCTACCCTGCAAACTCAGGCAATTCCTAAATACATTTACAAAACTCTTGATGTAGTTGGTATTGTACCAGCAGAAGAACTGCCTATAGATCTGATGGGCAAATTGAGCAATATTTCAAAATTGCTGGAGTGGATGATCAGATGGTCCGATAAAAGACTGCCCTGTGGTTCCAATAAACAAGATTGCTTAGAAGAGACTCTCCCAATGATACATCTGAAAACATCATCGGCAGCTGTCCTTACGTCTTTTTGGTTGTTAGAACAGTTATATGGAGACAGATCTCAAACAAGGAGCGTAAAATGTAAGGTAAGAAAAAGGATGGAACAAGTGTTAGTGAAGTGAGTGTGAGTGAGTTATGCCAGTAGGGAAAAACCACATACATGTTTTACCTCATAGTTCTCCTCTCAATAAAACATGGAATATTAATAGCCTTTCTTTTAAGAGTTGCTAAGAAAAGGGAAAAATCCAGAAATACTGAAATTCTGTCAGTAGAAATACTTAAGTTGGAGATGAAAATTCTCTTTGGAAGTTCAATATAGGTAATTTATCCAGACACCACATTTTTTGCACAAATTCCTGTAAGTTTGGCCACTGTGTCTAGTTTTGGACATCATCTTTGAAAAAACATACTACTGGAGACAGAACATGGCAGAGCAAGGCAAAGAATAAAGAAATAGTTCCTCTTGCAAGAGTTCCTTTGTGTTTGAGGACAGTGCAGGTACAGTCTGACTAGAGTATTTTAACTGGTTAAAGACTGTGAAAAATGACTAGCACTGTTACAGAGATTTGGAGTATATGTGTGGATATGAAGGAGGAGATTTGCCAGATGAATCTGGTATGTGTTGCTTTAATTTATGTTTCAGAGACAACTGGATCACTTAGCTTCTTTAATTAAAAATACATAGAGTCAAAGAATACATGAAAGTCTTTGAGGGAAGAGGGTTGTGGGACTCAGGTTGAGAAGGCTTTTCTCCAATTTCAAAAGGGATTTTTTTTCTTACTTTTGGTTTGTATTTTCTGGTTTTTTGACAAGTGTTTTATTTACAACTTAACAAATCTTGCGTGTGCATCTAACTACAAGGTTATGTATCTCTTTTTGACTTCCATACTGTTTTCAGTGGTAATTTGAGAGTTTTATATTGTCTGGATAAGGCCGAATCTTACTGTATATATTTACCTTGATTATATTGTCATATAGTGTCTTTGACAATTCATACACAGTTGACATTGAGAAATCTTTCTTATCTTTCATTTGGATAATTCAGAGGACCATTGCTTCACTTAATGTAAAAAGGGGCGAAACTCTTGTTTCTGTAAATCTGTAAATCCAGGACTTCTTGGCTCTATAATAAAGAAAAGGATATGAATTAATTAAGTATAGCCATTCTGTATGAAAGCATTGTGGTTTTTTAAAAGTACCTGGTATTTTTTTTTTGGCTAGTGAATTTTGATTATTGTTGTTTTTATTAATAGCATCCAGATGATCAATATCTGAAAGAAATTGCATCTCTATCAGAAGCCCAGTCTAGAGCAGAGGAAGAAAGTTGTATGGATGAAGGCTCTTCCACAGTGGCCAATTCTCCTCTTGATGTTCAGATTGTACAAGTCTGTGATAATCTTCGTGAAAGTGATTTGGGGTAATTTTTTTTTTTAATCTAAGAACTCTAGTTGGTCATAATTCCTCTACTAAGCAGCATGAAGAGATCTTATATACATAGTATGTATTATATCAATATTTATATTTATGTATTATATTCACGTTTAATTTTGTGCAAAAAGTCAAACTTGGGCATATTGGTTACAGCTGCATGAAGCAAATTAAATATTCTCCCTCAGCACATGTACATAAAGTAGCTGTTGCATATTAAGTGAATTGTACATGGTTGTTTATAAACTTAGTGATGGAAATAGAATCTAGATTTCCAGTGTAACGGGTGTCTTGGTTTTCTCAAAGAATTGAGACAACTTCCTCTCTTTTCAGTGTAATTTTCTTTGATTTGAGATGAGTGGTTCACAATGTTAGTTTATTGTCCTCTAGATCTGTAATCTAGCTGTGTTCATATATGTGCATGTCAGAAAAATAGATGGAAAAAGAAGTAAATACTTTATTTGTTAATATCTTGCACTGTCTTAAAAATAAAGAATCCTTAACCTGAATTCCTCTGTGGCATTTCATCTTCTATTGCAATAAGAAAAAAAAATCGACCTCTAGTATTAGAATACATATAGAGAGTGAGTTATATAGATTTCTAGTATTCTGTAAATAATCTCTAGTATTTTGAGACATGATTGTATTCTTGTCTGATAATTTCCTATTTTTTTCAATAAACTAAGTTCCTGTGAGGGAGATAAATGTGGCCTTAACCAGATGATTTTAAAGACATAGCACAGTTTATCTGGAAACAGCCTGTCTGAAAGAGTGTACCATTAATGGCGCTAAAATATCACAGCTATGCAAAAAAAAAATAAGCTTGGTTTAAGTTGTAGTCAGAGAGGAAACCTGTTGTGATATAAACAATGAATATTGTTTATATCACAACAGTGCTTATTTTACAGTTAGGCACTAGCCTGCAGTATAAAAGGAACAGCAATACTTGAAGTGAGCCAGGTAATTATGTTGTTAATTATGTTTTGTAATCCTTATTACCAGAATGTCTGCAAAGTCAAAATATTTTTATAAGAAGAAAATTAATCACGGAAATAATTCTGTGTCTCATATAACTGAAGACCTGAATGAAGTGGGACCATTTGTTCAGCAAGAGTTGGATGTAACATCAGAACAAGGTTTGTTTTAATTGTATATCCTTTTATTGTGGTCTGACATATAAAGCAGTAAGTTTTGCATTAATACAATTTTATGTCCCTCTGTTTATTTAATCAAAAAGTACTGATGTCTTCATTGTTGTATTGAAATTATTTTATCCAGTTTGTATTATAACTAAATTATATAAAATTGTTTTATCAAGACTTTCTGATCACTTTTTCACTATGTCCCTTTTTTTCTATAGAAATAGAAAAATGTATGTTAGCATGTTCTATTCTCTTATAGAGAGAATAGAATATTCTTATTATATTATTATATTATTATTATTATTATTATTATTATATTCTCTTATGCTAACATAAGAATATTTCACTCTGGAAATATTCACACAACTGTGCAAAATGGTTTGCAAATTTTAAGAGCTGAGTATGTGTAAATTATCATATTTGTACCCTTTTCATAAGCTAGGGATTTTTTTACCTCTCTCTTTGCGTGCATGCATCAACACTAGTAAGCACACACATTTTGAATTTGCAGAAGCAACTTTGAACACTTTCCTCCACACTAGTGAAAAAGTGGATTAATATGACCTGCTGTCAGAAATCATGTAACAGTACTATAATCTATGTTGTTTTCTAATTTATATTGTTTATATTGTAGAATTCTTTGAGGAGCCATATGAAACTTCAAAGAGCTCCAATAGCTCTGTCAAGATCAGACCTGTAGAACATCAAAGAGAACAGGCAAGTTGTCATACAATCATCAGAGATCATAGAAGTGTTTGGGTTTGGAAGGGACTTTAAAGGTCATCTCATTCCAAACCCCCTGCCATCGGTAGGGACACCTTCCGTTAGACCAGATTATCCAGGGCCCCATCCAGCCTGGTCTTGAGCACTTTCATGGATGGGACATCCACAGCTTCTCTGGGTAATCTGTTCCAGTGCCTCATCTCCTCACAGTAAAGAATTACTTCCTAAAATGTAATCTAAACCCTTTTTCAGTCTGAAGTAATTTCCCCCTTGCCTGTTACTATTGTGCTCTTGTAAAAGGTCCATCTCCAACTTTCCTGTAGGCTTCTTTAGGTACTGAAAGACTGCTCTGAAGTCTCCATAGAGCTTTCTGTTCTTTATGCTGAACAACCCCAACTCTGACAGCCTTTCCTTGTGGGAAAGGTGCTCCAGGCCCCTGAACACCCTTTGTTCTGGACTTGCTTTACCAGGTTCATGTTTTTCTTATACTGGGTGACACAGAGCTGAACACAGTGCTCCAGTGAATCTTCTGAGGACAGAATAGAGGGGAGAATTGCCTCTGTCAATATGCTAGCCATGCTGCTCTGGATGCAGCACAGTATATGTTTGGCTTGGACAATCTCAGTATTCCTCACCCTGTACTTGTTTCAACCCTCTGTAGGCTTCATTTTTGTGCTTGACTTTGTCTGAGAACTCCTTGTTCATCCATGCAAGCTTCCTGGCATTTTTGCCTAACTTCCTCTTCATTGGGATGCATCCCTCCTGACGTTAGAGGAGGTAATTTCTGAATATTAACCAGTTTTTCTGTGCCCCTCTTCTTTCCAGGGTGCAGTCCCATGGGACCCTACCAAGCAGCTCCCTGAAGAAGCCAAAGTCTGCTCTTCTAAAGTGAAGGTCAGTGAGCTTACTGTGTGCCCTCCTCACTGCCCTGAGGAACTCAAATTTCACCATTTCATGGTTGCTGCAACTAAGGATGCCCTTGAGCTTCACATTCCCCATCAGTTCCTCCTTGTTGATCAGAATGAGGTCCACCATAGTACCTCTCCTCGCTGGCTGTTCTGTCTGTCACATGTGGAAGGAAGTTATCATCAATGCCTTCCAGAACCTCCAGATTGCCTGTGCCATGCTGTGTTGCGCCTCCAACAGATACTGGGATGGTTGAAGTTCCCTGTGAGGACCAGGGCTTGCAAACGTGAGGTTGTTCCTATCTGCATATAAAGGACCTCATCTGCTTAATCTTCCTAGTTGGGCAGCCTTTTATCAGAACTCCACTGTAATGTCACCTGTCCCTGCCCTCCCTGTAAACCTGAGCCATACACTCTTGGTCAAGTCCTCATCCATCCCCAGGCAGAACTCCATGCACTGCATAGAGGGTGGCACCCACTCCTCATCTCCCCTGCCTGTGCTTCCTAAAGAAAGCCTGCATCCATTCATTCCAACACTCCACTCATCAGAACCATCACACCACGTATGCAATGCCACTAACATTGTACCTGGTAGACATACACATTTCCAACTTTTTTATTCCCCATGCTATGTATGCTTGCATGGAGGCTCCTGATGCAGCTGAGTTACTGACAGGAGAAATTGTAATTCTTTTGTGCAGCTCTTCAGGTGCTCTGTTGACAAGCTGCTCCTCTCCAGGCATCTCTGACTCTGTCAAAAAATTGCCCCTCCCCTGACAACTTTAGTTTAAAGGCCCCTTCCCCCTTTCCAAGACTATGACTGAAGGTGCTCTTCCCCCTTTCTGATAAATGAACTCCATCAGCCCTCAGCAGACCAGGTTCTCAAAGCAAGTCCCATGGCTGAAGAAGCCATACCCCTGACTGTGGCACCAGTCCTGTAGCCATTTGTTGATTTACCAGATTCAAACCTTTTCAAACCCCTTCCTTTTGGAAGGATGGGAGGATTGACTGTGCACTCCAGAGCCCTCACTGCTACTCCCTTCTCAGCCAGCTCGTGGATATGTCACTGGCACACGTGTGAAACAACAGCAGTGGGTAATAGTGGGTTGTACAGGGCTTGGTTGTCTCTCAGAGACATCCCTGACAGGAGCCCCAGGGAAGCAGCACCTCCCTAGAGAGTGTGTCAGCTTGGCAAATGGATGCCTTGTTACTTCTCAGAAGAGAGATACCTCCTACTACCACCCATCAACTTTCTTTAGTTGTGCTGGTTGTAACACAGAGAGCAGGTCTGCATGCCTTACTCAGCTCCAGCATTTCTCATGACGTGACAGGATCTTATATGGAAGCATTGAGTTGTTATGAATATTGTTTTCAAAGTATCATGAATTTATCAATACATTTGTGAGTTTGAGGGCTAAATTGTTTAGGGTTTGTGAATCTTCTTTCTTGCTTAATAATAAAATTAACAATTAAAAGGTGGTAAAGTGAGATCTGCTCTGAGCACTTTTGGAAATGCGTGTATGCTTTCATATATGTATATATTGTAGATGTATTATGTATACATAAAATTGAATTGATTTTTAAAGAAAATACATCAAGATGTTTCTTTTGCTTCTGTCTGAAAACTCAGTCTGGATTTATTAATAAGACTGCTTTTTTATGCATCATTTTTGGTCATAGGTATCTTTTCTTTGAAAGTGGCTAAGGGCAGGATTGCTATGCTATGTATTGTGGTCTCCAGTTTTTTCAATACATTTCACTACAGTGAATCTATGGCGTGTGCAAAATCCTACATTTGTTTAATTTTCTTGTTTTGTAGATAGTTTGTGTATAATGGGGTTGTTTCCACATTTTCATCTTTACCTAGGGAGTGTGAGGTTAACAGAATATATATCCAGGCTGCTACATGAATATGAATTTGGAACTATAATCTCATAATAATGAGATTATTTTAAGAAAGAAAGATTTTTGGGTAAATTGTTATATCTCTTTGTTGTATTATCTGTAATTATCTCCTGATAAGTATATAATTTTGATTATTTTTAGTCAGATTTTTGTAATTGGATAATTAATCAAAAATACATTTGCCATAGGCTAAAAAACTGGTATTTTATTGAAGCAGGAGGGATAGAAAAATTTGCAAGTTTAGATCTTTTCATCTTTTTTTATTTAGCAGGTTGCCATTTCAGCTGTAGATAGTGCTCAAGAAGATCCAAACCTGGAAGAAACAAAGGAAGAAAAGGCTGAACAGAATATGTAAGTGACTTGGGTTTTTTAAACTCTTTTAAGTCTTTTAACTTTGCTTAAAAATCTAAAGCAGTTTTGTTAATGATTGTATTCAGTGATGTCTCAGGTTCTTGCTGTTGCTTATAGCAACAAAGCCATAGTTTCAAACAGTTTCAGTCATCTCCTATTTCATGTACAGGCATTTCACATGTATGAAGGGCTGGGGTGATGAATCATTATTTTAGTAATGATCTAAGAAAACAAGCATGATTTGTGGGAAGATATATTTTATCTGGGAGAAAGATAGACAATAACTGGAAAAAACAGAAAATCTTATTACGATGGCATATAAATAAATGTCCCTACATACACATAATGTTTGTGAAAGACTTTAAAATTAATTTTAGAAAGACTTGAAATTCTCTGCTTTTTAAAATTACATGTTTTTGTTTTAACTGAATGTAGGATGCCCCTGGAGAATTTATTATGTCATTGTTTTTTCTCTTCTAGGGATGAAGATTATAGTGATATTAACAGTATTAGTTAAATTGGATTTTCTCTTCCTTTGTGTACCAGAATCAACCTTTTCTTTGCCTGGTGTCTTGAATAGCTGGAACTTTTTCAGTGCTTTTGTTTGAGTCAGTTTCTGATTGCTAGGGGAGACAAAACATGAATGTCAATATTTGCCAGCTCAGATTGCGGTGTAATGCTGTAATTGAAGCAATGCAGATCTGTATAGCTTTGGTCAGGTGGCTTTCAGGTACTTCATCTCATACTAATTAAAATACTTTTTCAGGAGGTTATGTGTATATTTATACACATACATGTATATAAAATGGAAACAGACATCATAGCAAATCATTGTAGTATTTGCAATTATTGTAGTATTTCTCTCTTTATAATATGACTGAGGTTGTTACTAGCAACCTTTCCCACTCATTTCTTTAAAACGATGCAGAAGTTCCTAGGCAAGATAAACCTATACTGTTTTATGTAATAAAACAATATTTTTGATTTGAAGTAATGTGATGTGTAGTTTTGACTGCAAAATATTTGCAGGTAGAATGTATTGTACCTACAAACGAAGTAGCTTTTTCTGGAACTTTTTTGTACTATAATACTTGTGGATCATATACTCTCATATGCTGTCTGGAATATTGCATAGCTCAAATGTTAATTCAGAGCTAACAGATTTCAAGAGACATGATAGTTTTGTTTTCTGGTTCTGGACAGAATTCATTATATAATATTGCTATAGAAGATACTTGATTATATAGATCACCTGAACAATAACATTTTAAACTTATATACATTTTAATTTAAATTACTAAAATGCAGCTATCCTATGGCAACTGATAGATTTACATAAATATATACAAAATAAAGAGAATGTTGGAATTAGGAAAAGGAGTCAGGAGTCAGTCTCAGGCTTTCAGTTCTGGAACAGTCCTCTATGAGGTTTTTTTCACTTTAGAGGAAAATATGAACTAAATACTTTTGGGCTCCATTTTCATGTGTCTCTAATCTCTTTTTCTTCTTGAGTTTCTCATGCCAACTCTTTAAAAAAAAATTTACTCAAACTTTTGGTATTTCATGTCATGCCTGCACATTCTAATTGCCTTCCTAAAGATTTCATATGCCCCTTCACACCTATTACATATCTAAAACTATTACTCATTGTCCATTACTTTATGATCCTGCTTGTTCACATGCTTGGAGGCCATTCACAACTGTAAAAGGTTCTCTAAGGGTTGCCTGTATCCATAGCAATGTCAGCATTTTTCTTAAACAGAGAAATGTTTTTGGGTTGATTTCTGTTGGTGTAGTAAAGTAAGTAAAGTCCTTCAGTTTCTTCATAGCTTACTGGAAATCCTAACCCTCTCTTCTTCATGTAAGGAATTAATGTACTTAATATTCTTTACCAATTAAAAGATGTTGTAATCACTGTGGGAAAATGTAAAGAAAATAATTTAAAATTGGAGTAACACATACAATACATTACTCTGAAATCTTGTTAATTTTTAAGCCCAGATATCTAAAGGAACATTACTTTAAGTCAGAATGAAGTCTTCCTTATTTCAGCTAAAAATGTCCCTCTTACTTTTCCATCAGCTGTTTGACTTTATGACTAACCAAGCCTTTTTTCTGTTTCTCTTTGTCAAATCATTGTTTTCTGCCTTCATCTCTAGTGATAATATTTTAGATATGCTTGTGGCTACAAAATCAGCTAGACCTTACATCTTTACTACTGTTTTTCATTCAGTGTTTTACAAAGTGTTAGGAAACACGTCCTACATGCTCTCTAGTCAAGATCGTGCACTGTTAATTATTCAGTTGCTCTAACAAATTAATTATGTTTTTTAAATATACAGGTATTTTAAAAACTTTTCTGGATTGATTTAAGACAACCTTGTGTAGGTGTTTTGAACTCTGAATGTTTTTCATAGTTGGTTCTTTTCTTTCTTAAGTAGTGCAGATGCTGTAAGTGATTCTCAGCCTTCTGAGACGGCTGTGTCGACTATGTCAAGTCTTGCCTCCTATACTTCTGTTCGTGCAAAGCAAGAAGTCAAGGAAGAAGTTCCTAGAGAAGAGAAACCAAGCACATCAGAAACTGTCAGGCAGATGCTACAAGATGAAATGTTTAAATTAGTTCAGGTGAGCGCATCTAATTATTTTAAGTAATTTTCATGGTACCAACTGTGTTGTTAAAAAAATGGAAATAGTTACTGTTTTAAGGACCTTTTGTGTGTGGTTGGTTCAGTGCTGGCTAAATGCCAGTGCACCCACTAGAATATACTTACTCATTTCCTGCTGTGAGATAGGATTAGGAGGAAGGCAGGGCAGGCTCAAAACTTTAAAAGGGTATAAAGAAAACTTTATTAACAGTAACTCAAAGAAAGAATAATAAGAATCAGAATAAAACCTTTAGAACACTTCTCCTCCCCCCTACAACCTTTTCTTTCTCACTAACAACATACAGAAACAATTCAGTCAGTTTGTCAGCTCTAGAATAGTCTTTCTTCAGTTCACTTAGGGAGGGGAGTTGCCCTTTCTATGGCATAGACTTCTCCACAAGAAATAGTTCTCTCATGGCTTTTAATGTCCATGAATAGCAGGCGCTCAGAAATCTGCAGTCGTGGAGTCCCTCCCATCTTTTGCAGCCTTCCCACGACTGTGGTTATGAGACAAATCAACTTACGGTGTGCTATTTTAAGGATGAGCTGTTCAAGAGCAAAGGTTATCTTTACTTTACAGAGATAGGTAAATCTCTTTACCTATCTCTGAGATAGGGAAAGAGATTTACCTGTCTCTGAGATCATCATCTCTGGAACAGTGGTCTTCTCTCCCTTGGGGCACTCTTTTCTCTCTCTGTGCAAAGTTCTCCTGGGATCACAACTACTGCAACATCTGCTCGCTTTAGCATAGTTGCCTGTGCTTGTATCTACAATTTGAACACTTCATCCCCCCATACTTTCATTGAGTTACAGGAAAAAGAGACTGGTGTGTCAATTATGTCTTCTCCATAGCCTTACAAGCCCAAACCTGAGGCATCTCAACCCTCTCATCTGGGACTTGACTTCTTCTTACTGACCTTCATGTCATGTTGTTCTCTAGGTGTCTTTACTCTGTCCTTTTCTCTCACCTGAAGGAGAATTGAAGGTCTGCGAGTCTTATCTATACCCTAAAAGAGCTAGTATCTTGCCCAGGGCCTGCCGATCCTCACAGGATCCCTGCCAGGGGTGTCCAGAGCACTCATAGTGATGGATTCTCAGGCCACACAGGGGCTGTGTCAGAATCTCAGGGGGCCTGGGCCACAACAGCAGCAGCCGCTCCGGCTGCATGGCTGTTTTCCGTCCCCTGCTGCGTTCAGTTCCAGCCGCAGGGCACTCTGTGTGGCCTACACAGCTGCCTGTGGGGGTTTTTTGGCTGCCGTGCTGGGGGGAGAGCCGGGATCTCAGCAGCCAGGCTAGTACTCAGCGGCCGATGGCCTCCCTTCTCCCTGCCTGGCAGCCGCTGCGGCCCGGCCCTCCCCTGCGGCACAGCCTGCCCGGCCGAGACAGCGGACGGGCCAGCCTTGCTACCTGTTCCCAGGCCAGAAGGCAAAGAGAGAATTCCCGGGGTTTGTTTGTTTTCACAGGTGTGATCATAGAGGCAGGTCTAATTTTTAATTGGCTCATTAACATTCTTATTCTCAAGGCTAACCAGCAATTGGTTTTGCTAGGCAACGAGGAAGCTCTCAGCAGCTCCTCCCAGAAAAAATCACTTCAGTGCGTGGCTCCAGTGCAAAACAGCGCAGGCTGTTCTTTAAAGAGATTTCTAGTTCCATGTTAAGCACTGTGAAACTTATTTTAGACTTAACTCTTGCTTTTAATTCAAGAAAATTAGTGATATAATAATAGATCTTTGAGTGTGTTTTAGATCACTTATGTCAATGTCCTTTAATAGTTTACACTTGGAAAAATTCTGATGCTGGAATAGCTTTTCAACTGTGCTAGGATTTAAGTGGTGGTAGTATGTTGACCCAATTTTATGTGACCTTAAATTTATTGAAACATCACAAAAAATTGAAGATACTTGTTTTGCTTTAGCATAACCTGTCTGTGGCAGGTATTTATGGTATCTTACAAGGAAGTCCAAAACAGTAAACAATTATACAAATTAATCATTATTGAATCATCCCATTATTGGGATGTTGTCTGTTTTGTCACCTGATAGTGAACAGCTGTAAGATAACCTAGACTTAGACCTTGCTAAGATTTCTGTTAAAGTTATTTGCATTGTTAACTTCGTTCATGTGTGTATTCAGCTTCAGCAGATCAACTTCATGAGTTTAATGCAGTTAGTGCAGTCATCCTTTACCAATGTGCCAAATGTGCAACAAGTATTACAGCAGCATCGGTTAGTTCACCTGGCAGGGAGCCAGCCTGCACACACTGCTGAAAGCAATGCTTCTCCAAAAATGCAAGAAGAAACAGGAAAAACGGGTCAAGAGAGCTCTGTTTTTCAGCCAAGGAGGAGTGTAGAAGATGAAAGCAACAATGGTCAAATAAAAGTAGGTATATTAAAGCATGGTTTATGAAGACTGTTCGGTATATCTGATATGTTATCTATCCTGTTGAGTGAGGAAATGTGTTCATAGTGATTGGTATAGAAAGAAGTATTTTTCTGCATATTTAGTGCATGGTTGATGTGTAACTGCTTGTTTATTTGCTTTTCTCATTTAGAATTGTGTGGATATGAGTACCTCTTTGGCATTATTTGAAAGCAACAGCAAGGAAACGGAATTAATGTCACCATACCAAGATCTACATTCTTCAGTGCCTACTAAACCACTTCATCTCCTGGCTCCTTCCTCCGGCATCCAGAAAAAAGTGAAGCTTATTCCTGTTGAAAAAGAAAGTAGTTACTCAAATGGATTTCCTTTGCTTACACTTGAATCAAGTTATCATGTCAAACCAGCATTTTTACATCCAACAGAAATGCCATCAGCATTTGCCAGGCTACCCTCAGTACCACGAGTAGCTTGGAGTTCATCAGATTCCTTATGGAACCATCAGTCATCATATGCACCAAGAAAGAGTAAGGCAGAGGAAGATTTCCACAGAAATAGTTGCAATCCTGAGATTTCAAGACAAAAGTACAAGGAAAAGGAGAGATGGGCAGAAACAGTGCATGAGGGTCCTCCCAAACATCTGAATTCAGATCAGTGTGAAGGACAGCAGGAGGATTCACCTCAGCCACAGTTCCCTGAAAATGTGAACGTGTTCAAAGCACCAACCACTCAGAACCTGGCTGCTATTCCACTGTTGCGCTTGCAACTTGACCCAGTACCTAGAGTTCCACCAGCTGTAAGGCAGCCAATCACTACTACTTTAATACCTATTAAACCTGCAGCAAAGGATGCTGACTCCAGAGAAACACAGTGGGATGCAGGAATATCACTACTTCAGATTAATTTACGTCAGAAAAAGAAGGTATTGAATTTTAATAATATGTTTTTCTAAGTTATAATGTTTTGTCAGTTTCATGGTTTCTTAGTCATCACAAGTAATTCCATGTTTACTTTGAATTTGAAATTGTTCAGCACAGATACCAGGAGGGATCTAGAACTAAGGGTACCTGCTTATTGACATGCCAATGAGACAGACTGCAAGCCTGAAAGTGTTTATAACTACATTAGATTGATTCTACATTCCATAGTTCATCAGTGTTCAGCCCACTGGCAGTGACTGTTAAAAATTTATTATCTAAAATACTGGATAATATTGGTATAGTAAAATAATATGGTTTTTTCCTTGAGAGATTATAATAGAATTACTTACAGAAACAGAATGTGGTGAAAAATCCTGTTTTGCAGGGCAGAAATGGAATGGTAAAAGGCATGGTAAGAAAATATTATGCTGAATACCTGATGTTTTGAAAAAAATGTTATTTCTTTTAGACTTACATGCTTGCATATTCCAGTTGAGAAAAATGGAAATGCTTTTCCTTGAAAAGTGCTTCTTCAGTCCTTGTCTACATTGGATGGTTCCTAACTTCACCCTGAACTACCTACATAAGAAATGCAAATATTAGTGAAATATGTTCTGTGGAGAAAATTCTTTTGCTCTGTGGAGAAAATTCATACCTTTTAATTTTCAGAAAATAGTTTACACGTGTACATATTGGCAGAGGTTCTGGTCTGATTCTGTACAAAATGTTACAGGAGTTTTTGTTTGTGTAACTGAAATCCGAACTGGACTTACTTTCTTCATTCAATCTGACTGGAGCTCTCCTCCCATTTTCTGTCTTTCTCTTTGAACCTTCTTAGGCACCAAATCTCATCCCCCTTGGAGATCTCATTGCATTTGAGCAATGCCACAAGCATCATTCTGTGCCCAGCAGTTCCTTTGGACAAGACCAAACCAAATCTATCCAGCTACTAAGAACTGATGTTGAACCATTTGAGCTTAGAGATGTGCAGAACAAAAGAAAAAGGCAAGCCAGATTTTTAAAGTGGCAGACTAACTGGTAACCTGTATATTCTAGTTTTGGCATCAGAGGGAGTGTATTCTCTCAGCAGAGAATAAAATAGCAAATGTTAGTAAAGACACAGCAGAAGTGTATCATTAGGGTGTGAGGAGTTCGTGCTCTTAGGAGATTGATAGGAAGAAGATTCAAGAGGAAATGTTTTTCATTCTGCTATCTGTGTTTTAAAGTTGTCTTGTCTCCTGACTGTTTGCTATACACTCTTAATGAAGTGCTCACTCCTTATGCAGTGAATATTAGTAGACAGCTGTCTGGGCTGCATATTGTCACTGTCATCTTCAAGAAGGAATGGATTGTATGCTCTGTCAGTATAATTAAATATGTAGGCTGTTTTTAATGCAGACAGTGATTAACAAAATTCCTGCTGAAGCAGAGATTTTTTGGGTTTGTGGGGTTTTTTTGCTAGATATGTTATTTACAACTTACAAAATTTGATCTATTTGATGTTAATTAATGCACAAACAGTTGAAACAGTTTGTTTAAGCTACTTACATAAATTTGTTCAGTTCTTATAGAATGCTGATAGAATGCTCTGGAATAGAATACTTGGTTTCTTTCAGTTATGATGCTTTTAATTCTGTCATTTTGGAACAGAGGCTCAAGAGTAGTTTTTCATTTGTAAAGTGGAAAAAAATTTTGCTACACAACTGCAGATAGAGTTTAGAATACATTTTAATAGTATCTATGGAAGTGCTTTAAACTGTAGTTGCTGCCATATAATCTACTTGTCACATATTAAAGAAGAAGCTGCAGTAGTTGTTGTGTAATCTATTTGTCACCTAGTAATTAGAAAATTACTGCTGTGTAATTGAAGTTTGCTTTTTATAAATTTGTTATGGGCGTTTTGTGTAGTAATTATTAATTATACACAAGATATAGATGTGAAATATTATGAGGTTTGTTATATTGAATATAAATAGCCTATTAGACAATCAAGAGATTTTAGTGTAATTGCTGGTATTTCTATGGGTTCCTACAACATTTTTGATTAGTTTTCAAGCAGGCAGAAAATGTGATTTGAACTGATCTATATGCAGCAGCTGTTTATCTTTTCCAATCTTTATTTCAGTGTTTATTTCTTAGTAGTAATCTTTCCTAGAAAACAACAATAGGTATTGTTACTATTTCAGAGCACTTCTTACTCTTTACCTGCAATTAATATGTTGACAGTAAAAAGAGGCGTAGTAAGAAGCAACTGAAAGAGAAGGAGGATAAGAAGAAACTAAGTGTGTCCTTCCGTCCAGACGACTCCATCATCAGCATTAGTGACACAGCAGTGGCTTCTGAATCAGAGACTGGGGTATAGAATTACGATTTTTTCTTAGCTCTTAGCCTTTTCCATTCAAGTATTAGCAGAAAAGAAAGAAGAAAAGTATAAACCAAACAGTAATATACTTTTCTTCCAAGCTCTAGCCTACAAACAGTATGCATATTTAATTAATATACTTAGATTTTCTCAAAACTGGAGATTGATTATTATAAAGGATTCCAGGGTTGCTGTTTTTTTTTTTTTTATGGAACATGAGCTTGTTTTGATAGGCTATAAGTCTGCATGTACATTTGTAGTAAATACATACAAAAATGTCAAAAATGAAAAAAAAAAAGCTTTTCCTAGTAGTGACAAAGTGACCCAGGCAAGTGACCCAGGCATTATTCTTTCCATGTGGGCCTGGATGTATGACAACAAGAGTAACAATAAGAGTAACAATGCATTGGAATCTCAGTTTTGTCTCAGTCCAGACTCTGAAAAAAGAAAGCCTTCATCAAGCTGGGTTTTGATTAGGCCTTTTTGATATCTTTTGGGGTTTATCCTTGCAAGTACCAAATTTCAAGCTAGAACGCTGCCAATTTAATGCTGGATCACTACCGAGAGCTGTGTTTCTGATCCATACCATACTTTCTCTGTGACTTCACTGCAGCACAGCAGCTGGAGACCCTCACCAGACCTGGGGATGTTCAGGGTACAGCAGGGGTAGGGTAGACTCAAAGAGGAATAAGGAATTTGTGTTACGTCACCCCAAGGTACATAAGAGAATGTTACATAGTCAGTAAATTCCACTAAGTTGGAATAGTTCAGAGGAGTTAAAATAATTGCTGAGAAAAGTAAGTGGAAGTTATTTCTTTTTTTCCCCAAATCATTACTCATATGAGGTATATTGGATAGTTAACATCGCCAAGAAAGCCTTTAATCTGCACTGGAACTGTTTTTAAAGATGGTTCTTTTTTTCCTTATATTAGGATCACAAACCAAAATCAACATCTTACGTTCAAGATGGTTTTCCCGTGTCAATGGGCAAGTACAAGTCTTTTTAATGCTTTGAGTACTCAAATAAAATTTTAAAAAAATCAAGGAGCATTAGTCTGTTAGAATTCACAGTAAAACTCTACAATAATCCACATGTTAAGAGCTAGGATTATGTGGTCTGTGGGCAGTAGAGTTTACTGGTTTATGAGGTATTTCCCCAGACCATTCAGGATGTACAACAGGTATCAAGAATTTTGGGAGACACTTGTTTCTTGGGGGGATTGGTATGGAGAGAGGTGCAGACAAATTTAAGGTCTTGTATGAATTATCTGAAGATTCAGAATAGTTTTCTCAAAAATTTTAGAAAATTCTAGAAAAATTTAAAAAAATTTTTTAGTTTTTCTTCAAAATGAGTGGTAATCTTGTGTTTATGTTTATAAACAACAGAGTTAATGAAATAATAATGTCAAGTTAATCTAATTAGCTGTGGTTGACAGTGATTTCTGTTAATGTGATTAATCAAAATATTCTGTAAACATTTCCAATCCTAAATTTTTAAAGTATTTAAAAAAAGATATTATTCCAATGTTATTTGCCTGCATATTCTAATTACACAAAATTTAGGGCTCTCGTAAATAAAAGTCAATGCATGCAATGTTTCTAGCCTGCAATATGAAGACCAGGCCTGTGGAAAGATTTCCTTCTTTATATAATATGTTAATTCATGACAATATTCAGTTCTGTCACAGGACAAAATGCAATTCATTCTCTGAAATTTGGCCTTAAAGAAATGTTGTTGTAGAAACAACAATAAAGAAATGAAGACATATGTGTCATAAATATTCCTGCCCTCCTTTTAGAATGTGAAGCAGACTGTTACTGTTCAGCATACTAAAATATTTAATTTAAAATCTCATATCTAAACTGAATCTTGATTTTAATTCAGTGTAACATTGTAAGTGTTAGTTGTTTATTCACATAAAGTTGGTAGCATGAACTTTTCTTGGAGTCATTTGTGACGTATGCTTAGAGACAAAGTAAAATTATCTGTCATAAATACAAGTAAGAAAATGTTGGAGCCCATAGTTGTGAGTTAGTATTGTTGCTTTCAAAGATGTCCAATTTTTATATCATTAATAGACATCTATTTTGTACTATCACATTTTAGATATAATGGATAAAGCAAGTATTACCTCAGCAGATCTACATTATTTAGCTTCTGTAGGAAAAAAAACAGCAGAAACCCAAGATGCAAGTACAAATACTAACCCAGGTAAGTGCCACACAGGTGATCTACAGAAACCAACTGTTTCTGGTGTTGCTTCTTGATTAGTTTTGCTATTTGATCAGTTCAAAATGCAGCAAGTTTGAAAGGGGAAGCAGTTTTTTGTGCAGTTTTCTTGTTTCAAAAAAACCAGAAAACAACAGAATATAAATTATAAAGCAGTAGTTAAAATAATTATAATTAAAAATATTACTGACACAATTACATAAGACTCTCTTCATGCTTTCTGTAAGTCAGTTCTGCTGTGACTTTTTCTGAAAGTTCATTTTAACTTGACTTTATCTAAATGCATTTTAGGCAATGTTTCACACTTGACTGAAATTGTTTCCTTGCCTCTTCCCCTGTTTTTCTTTGATTGTGAACTGGCAAATCAGAAACACTCAGAAAATGCCATTGGTATCTTTACTTAAACTCATGCATTCTGTTTTTGCTTTTTTTTTCCCAATCAAGTGCTCAAATCATATGAGGATCATGGGACCAGTGGTGGAAATGAGGTTTCCAAAGTTCAAGAAAACGAGCTGGTCACATCTGTTCCTGTGTCAGGTGTGGCTGCAGTCTTTCTCCGCTTCATTTGTTGTTTGGGAAGTCTGTAAAAGTTACTGTTCTAACATGGCTTTTGTACCTGAGACAGCTTAATTCAGGTTGCAAATAACATGCTAATTTATCTGACTTTCTGAAACCCAATCCTTTGTGGATTTTAGATTGATTTTAGTGCCCACTTTAGTTTTAGTATAGTGTAGACCAAATGAATTGGTCAGTAGGATGTTAAAACAGATCACATGAAATTGTGTTGCAGTAGCATTGTTCCATAAATACATTACATAGATTTCAGTACCCAGCTATTTTCCCTATAGTACCAAGAGAGCATACTAATTTTTCCATTATTGTAAAATTCAACAGTGTTTTTCTATTTGAAGATAATTTTACTACATCATATGACTCATTTGCAGATAGTTTTATTAGGTGTTTCTATCTGACTAATCTAATTTCTTTGGATTAAGTAAAGATGCAGATTTTTTTTTTTACCTAAGTAGGAGGGATTTAGATATTAATAGCAATCTAGATGGCAGCTTAGTCAAAGCTTTTCTTATCTTCTAGAGAATGCAGAGCTGTTTCCTAATAGTCTGAAGTTTTTGTGGCTTTTACTGTAAATATAATACTGACTATTATTATTTCCTTGTAGAATCATCCAGTTCCTCTGAGATACTACTGCCAGACATGTATTTAAACCTGAGTTTCCCCACTGAAGTGAATGAGAAACCTTTACCATCCCTCCTGTCAGATGCACCTGATTTGGTTAGTGATCTAATGTACATATGGCTTAAATGCATTTTAAGTGTACTGTTTGTCTTCATGAATTTGGGCTCTTTGTATCTCCATGAGTCAGTTGTGTAATATGGTAGGGAAGATTGTATTTATTTTGTTCCCAAAACAAAAAGCCTTTCATGTACAAATGTCAAGAGGTTAACACAGGAAATGGAGAACAGTGCACTATAAGCAGCTCATTCAAAACACATGCTGTATAATTCTTCATTATCTTGTTGTTTAGCATAAACGGGAATATATCAGTGTGGTTGACATTGAAGACAGTGACATCCTTAGCAATTTGCCCTTGAAATCTGAGTCTGAAGAAGAGAGAGCTGCTGAACAGGAGAAGAAGCTTGAAGTTCCATCTACTACAAAACTTCATGACACAGCAGCTTCTGTTACTAATGCAGTTCCACCTGAGGCACTTCATAAGCAAGGTAAACCATTTCAGTTCTAAATCCAAGAAAAAGTAATATTCTTTTGTTGTAATACTCCCACAGAAAATCTGCAGCCTTTTCCCAATTAACCTCATAGTTGGTTAGTCTTAAACATCAGCATTGATACATTTGACTTTTTTTGTAGTAATTCTTGCCTTCTAAAACACCCTATTAGGTATGGCATATTTTTGTCTAATTACTTGCAGTATTTAGGTGTTTGTGGCTTATTCAGTGATATTGGTGCTTTCTTTTTTTTTAAATTTTATTTTAAGATAACCATCAGAAGAATGTGTCAGACAAATTGCAAAAGAAAGATAAGTCAGATTCTGTTACAGATATTGTAACTTGGAACACAGCACATGAAGATGGAGGAACTGTTCCTTCTTCAGGGCTTCCACCCAAACTAATTGAAAAAGAGTACTTCTCCACAAGGCAGAAGGAAATGGATATGCAATTACGGGTACTAGAGAACATAGTAGAAAATATGGAGCAGGATTTCAGAAATAGCAAAATGGTGAGTACTAACTGTTGGTTTTTAAACAGTTTATTTTTTAAACTAAAGACAAAACTTCCATTTTGGAGCAGTGTGTTCTCAAATCTGCTTAGTATCTGTTGAAAGATACTGAGAATAATATGTGTGTATATATATATATATATATATATATATGTTTATAATACATTTGTAACATTATATATAATATAGATAAATATTATCTATATTATAATACAAGTTTTGCATATATGTATATACAATGTTATTTCATATTTAGTGCAGAATCTGTTGGCTGGCATGTCGCTTACAATGGACCAAATGTTGGCCAGAATGGTGATGTTACTAGTGAATGGGCAGAACATACTTAATTTCTGTGTAACTGAGTTCAGGCTGAGCAGGAGACCTTTTTTGGCAAAGACTTCTGCAACTGTACCTCTGCAAAATATTGTGTGACTGTTTCTATAACCTGATCCAGTTAGTTTCATAAAATCCTTGCATTTTTGCCATCTTTATAAATCCTAATATGGAATTAAAATAAATTTGGGCTGTGATGGATTTTTTAACTCTTCTAACTCATGGTATTCTGTGATTCACAGGAATGTAAAGACCTCATTGTATCACTTACACGCAGTTTGTACACTCAGGTGGATTATTTAATCACTTACATTCTTTGTCAAGGTTGTTATTTAAGTCAGATTTTTTAAAGCCTGTAGGGAAAAAAAAATTATATATCCTGTATTTGTTTCAGCATTTCAGCTGTTTCAGCATTTCAGCACGTGTTTCAGCATGTGGGTTTTAAAACTTCTGGGTACCTAGCCAAATGCTAAAAAAAATCCCCTTTTTTTTTTTTTTTTTTTTGGGGTTTTTTTTTTTTTTTTGAAGTTCATACTTGTTGGTCATTCCTATTAAAACAATTTCTCATGTATTACTTATCCGTTTTGAAATTTGTTCTTTTTGAGACTAATGGTCAGTAAAATGTCTCACTCTGGGTTAGTTTTAGTTTTCATTTTCTAGTTTGAAACTTCAGACTTATGAAGATGATGCAAGTATTTTAATATGTGTGGGGTTTAGATAAAATATATATTGGAAAACTTCAGTTACTTTAAACATAATGTGATCAGTAGAAATAAAATTGTTCAAACAAATAATAGAGTTTATATGTATTTTTCTCAAAGTAAGTATCCAGAAGATTGTAATTCTTACATAAAATTAATCTACCTGAGCTACTTTGATTCTTGAACATTTTTGTTTGTTTTCAGTCAGAAAACTGCATTAAAATGTTCGAAAGATTCTGACAAGAAAAATATATTTAAAGTGTACTTTGCATAAATATCTGTGGTGTAAGTCTCAGAAATACCTTGAAGGAAGTATCATTACCTAGTTTTTGGATTTCACTTACAGTTAGTGAAGCTAATAGAAGATTTTGAAATGGCTGCTGATTCTGACCTTGGTGCTCATCCTGCAGTCTCTGAAGTTGCTGGAGTCATTGGTGCTGGTATGTGTCCAATTAACAGAAGGATAATAAATTTACCACAGAATATGCATATTAAATAACTTTTAGTTTTTACGGACATTTAATGCAATCCCTAAAGGTGTTACTGAAATATGAACCAAAAATACCAGAGAAAAAAATAAAATTAAAGGTAGCCAATCTGAATATTGAGTTGTAATATCTACCGGTTTTATTAAAATCTTACATCAGCTTAAGTGTTCACTAGAGCACATGTATTGAATGATTTATTGTTTATCTAACAAATAACTCTGTAGAACCTACTTATAGCTACTGTGCCAAGAACATAGTCTAATCTGCTTATGGAGTTAATGCAAGGCCAAGTGGTGGAACCAAATCATGGCTATATCTGTAATCATTTGTAAGACGATATTTAGGATGTCCTTTAGACTCATCCAGAGCAATTTCTGGTCCAGTCATTTTCTTTGTGTCTGCAGGACTGGTTCACACAGCACAGCCCTGGAAGTGTCCTTCCATAGGGAGGCACAGCTGATCCAGGTCCAGGCTGTTGTTGGTGACAGATAAATTAAAATGCCACTAACCAAGATATACGATAGTTTCTGCATTTTGAGGATTCACCATTGGTCTGCACTAAGTACAGTTTTGGTTTTTTCCACAGAATCAGAACATCATTTGACAGGCATGATTTTTGAAGATGTTATAGATGATCAAAAGGAGAGCTTAAACTTGAAATATCCAGCGCCCAGTTCTACTACAGTGGATGCACACTCTTCTGCCTCTTCAGCATTGGCTTCTAAGTTTCCCAGTGGCCTGAAGTCACCTTCTGGTATAATCTTTATTGCATATTTTTCCCCTTTGCATCTTTTAAAAATAAGTAAACCTTTTCTTCATGCTGTAGTACTTCCTCATGGCTGTTACACAGAATGTTACATAATGCGAATGAGCTCATTAAAGTCAGGCATGAGTCTTTCTAGATTGCATTCTTTAGAGTGGCTTCATTGATGTGCTCTGATAATGAGTTTGTTACATGACATAACAGTATCACTAAAACAGTTCCGTACTGAATCATACTTGCACTCCACTGTTACTGAAAGAAAATAGTCAGCATTGGGTCTGTTTCTGAAACCCATCACTGTGCTGATTTGTATTTATTTACCTTATATAAATGACTATGATATCACAGAACACTCAAAGCTTCCTCCAAAAGCTGTCTTGATCATCTCTGTCATCTACCAGTGTCTAGAGGGGTGATCTCTCTGTTAAATCCAGTCTACATCAGCAAAATCAATTGATTTATTACTGTCTGTGCCCTAAAAGATTATTTTAGGAGGTTTAATAATTTTGAAAACTGAGGGTTAATTGATTTTTGCTATTATGAAGACTGCAGTAGCATTAAAAGGAGGATGAAAAATCATTCTGCAAGCAACCTGTTGCCTGAGGTTAAAATGCAGTTGTATTGTTTTCTCTGTGTATTGCCTGCATTGCTTGCAGTCAGGCTTCCAAAAGTGGTATGTGTTTGTACACGTGAATGTGCATTTGATAGCCACACTTTAAGATTTGTCTTAAAAGGTATTAAAACATTGTTCCTGTGTGTGTATACAGCACAAGTGAATCTCAAATAGTACACACACCCAGTTAAGTTTTGAAAACAGTAATAGAGTTTTCTAAGTATAAACTTTTTATTTCCAAGCTAAGGAAACTATAGGTGATACTAAGTTACAACTATAATTTTTTGAGATGGAGAGATTAGTTTAGGAGAGGAAGCAGTGCTCTTCCTTCCAAGACAGCCATACTGCTCTTCAGTTGCATCTTCTGAATTCCAAGCTTCTTCTGAGTACCTGGATTCCTCAAGTAAGTGTCAATCATTAATTTTCCAAGAAACACTATATAATTAATTGGAACAGACTATTTCCAGTTAATTGGTCATGGCAGAAAATTGTCAACAGTGACAATATCTTCCTAGCAAAACTACCCACAAAGCTAGGAACTGTTAATTAATACTCTCTGGAGCCTCTGTGCTCACCTGGCAGTCAATGACATGTTGTCTCACAGGCTGTTAAGCTTATGTATAATATTAATTTATTTTTAATGTCAGCCTTCAAATGTCAATTGAGGTTGACATATTTCTATATTTTATCCCACAGGCTGTTTAACTTATGTATGATTAGTGTGTGTACTACTGCAAAGATATTACTAACAAGGATTGTTTCTGTTTCAGGTTCTCACATATGCAGAGATCTATGTCCTGGGTATGTATTTTGAGACTGGTATTATTGACAGTTTACCAAAAAGCTGACTGTCAGGGTGGGATCATCACTTTGCAAAAATCAAGTAAAAGTTCAAGCTTAATAAAAGCCTTTTGTTAGCTAATTTCAGGCATTTACTCTGACTTTGGTGGTGCCTGTTAGATTTGCTTCTTGCAAAAGCTCTAGAAGCATTCAAAGTTCTTTTCTAATTAAAAGTACTGGAATTGTTAATATAGGTGGTGCTCTTGTCTATGTGCATTTGTTGTTTCTCCTATTTGCAAACCACTTTTTCAGAAAAATACATGTAACTGCTGTGGGTAGTTTTCCATGAAGGCTAGCTATCATAAGAAAGTTTTTAAAATCTTACTGTGTGAAAAGTTCAGAGCAACAGATGGAAGATTTCAAGACTGGGAAGAGCCTATGCATTAAATAAAGTGGTCCGACGTACATATTTTTACTTTTAGCTACTGTTAGTCTTCTGAATCCAGTAGAAAAGAGTAGCTGGTTTCCTTTCTTCCCAGTCATTCTGCTCCATTACTCGTCTTTATTGCTTTGCTTGGAGTATAGCAGTGAACTGAATGGTGTGTGTCCTATTTTTTAATATTTTAAGTGGAACTGGGTTGTGACTGAAGTAGATTAGGAAGTAATTACATAAGGTGGAATATGGGTGTGAGGCAAAACTTTAGCAGACACTGACAGCCTGTAGTCCTAAACTATGAGAGTTGTTTTTTACTAGGAGCAACTGATTGAAAGAGAGGAAAGAATTGGGGAGATTATAGGTGAAGCTGTGCTCTACTGACACTGATTCTTGCTCAGAAGGTCACTGAGATTTGGGTACCATTGAAACTGGTAGCACCCCATAACCTTATCTCCTCATGAGCTGCAGTACAAAGCCTGTGGTGTCCCTGGCTGCCAGGCTCAGCCTCCTGTGTTCCAGCCATGTTGACACACCACAGCAGAGCTCAAGCATTTCAGTTGCGGATTGTCCCTCTCTTGGGACAATCAGGTCTTGCTCCTTCTGTCCTCATCAAAGCTGACTCAAGTGTACTAACCCAGTGGAGATGAGGGGAAAGAAAATTCAGTCCAAAGGCTCTGTGTAAAACAACCTGGATATTGTTGTTTTAAGTATAAAAGGAAGAGGTTTAACTTGTTGTTTTTACAAGAATGTTCTACATTAATTTAGTAACAGCTTTTTTTTCCCTACCTAACATCAAGCTCTTTAGAAGATCCCCTGCAAATTGCTGGACCAAGTGATGTTACTGACATTGGGAATGATCGTGTTGTAGAAAGTGACACCTCTCTGCTGGAGCTGAGCTTTGCAAGAACACAGGCTAAGAAAACCTTTAGGTAATACCATGGCTGGTTTTTGTTGTGTGTTGCTTAAATCATTTTAACCCTGGTTATTCTTGTGGTTCACGCCCTGTAAACAATGGAAGCAAGGATGTGGTTTGGTGTTAATGGGACTAGTATTAGAGCTTGTAATCGCCACAAATCTACTGGTCATTATTGTCAAATGTACTGGTTGTTTTCTAGTATTCTGCTTTTGAAATTCTTTCCTTCCCGTTTACTTGTTCCTTCTTCTGCTAGGTACAGCAGAACTGGTTTTATACAGCAGATTCAGTTCAGACCTTCAGGTCTTTTAAAAAGTCTTTTAAAGCAGTTCTAAAAGACAGAATAGAAATTTCCTGGCAGTGGCACAGCAGCTTCAGAAACTCTGAGCCCCAGATTCCTGCTTGTCATGCTCCTCTCCCTGTTGGAGATTTCTACACCTTCCTGACTGTCAGTTATAAAATCAGCTGTGTTCTTTCCTGAGAGAGGTCAAAGTGACTGCTGTTTCCTACTGCAGTTTGTGATATCAGTTGCTGACAAGGCAAAAAAAATATAGCTGTTCAGGTCACCAGTCTGCTGCATTGGTGACACAGTTGCCACCAGTTTAAGCTCTAGTTCTATTATCTGAATGTAGCTGACAAGTAAAAGAAAAGTTTTAGGAGATGTCTTGGAAATTACTTGTTTACCAGGATTTTATTTAGTAAAAGTTTACAAAAGAAAATTTCCCGTCTTGTTCATTACTTATGCTTCCAGCTGTGTCAGAATTTTAAAGGGTTTTCAATGTTTTTGTTATATCATGTAGTTGCCAAGGTTTGCAATTTGCAGGATGTGCTGTATTATTTCCTGTTCACATCTGCCCTCAGGGTTCTTGATTCTGCTTCTGGGCATTCTCAAAGAACAGAAAAGGAAAGGAAAGAGATCCAAACATGGATGAAAAGAAAGCAAAAGGAAAGAATGAGAGAATATTTGAAGAAACTAGATGAACAAAGACAAAAAGAACATCATCCATTCAGCCTGAGAAAGAATGTGGTAAGAATAATAGGTGTATTGAAGAGTAACTGTTACTTACTGTATAAGTGTTGATTATTCAGGTTAGATAATGTTAAGGTTGGGAGTGGTGGGGTTTTTTTTTCCTATTGTAATGTAGGGTTTCTACATGTATGATTTTATTTTTCTGGAGCTGGCCATAGTTGTGCCAGATAAGTAAATACACCAGTGCTCTTCACAGGCTGCAGTGGTGATCACTGGCTGCAGGTGGCTATTACAAAGTGATGCAGGTGGCCCTTGACTGTGATGGATACAGCTGCAACATTCACTGATGAGAGATGTGTTTTCCAGGGAGTGACAACTACAGCAGTTCTTAAAATGTTTTTACACCTTGTTTCATCTTCCCACACACCTCCCAGAGAATTTAAAAAGCAGTGTTCAGATGCCAGCATCCTTTACAAACATGGCAGTATACTGAGGGCAGCTGTCACTGTCATTCACCCACACAGGGGTGCATGCAAAAATCATAAGAAGTCAGCAGAGATGCTAGAATATGTCGTATATGTCAAGTATCTTACAAAGTATTTTGTTGAGAGCTGATTTCAATGAACAGTCCACTCCCAGAATTTTTGACATTTTAACTTTATTAGTAAAAACACATTTATGGCCTGATCTGGAAATCTTCGTGTGCTGGACTTAATAGAAAATTTTTGAAAAACCATACAAAAGCAGTTCAGAAGACATTTTCCAATCAGTATTTACTCTTAAAATATGCATTTGCCATCTGGATGCCTTCACAGGAAGCTTTTGAGTTACAGAAGATGAGACCTAATAACACCAAATATATTCCTATACTTTTTACTTGTTGAATTCAGGATATGCTGTAAATACTTGCAGGCTGAAGCTCTAATTGTTTTAACTCCCAAGCAGCAAATATGTAATGTACACAAGTTCCCTGTGACTAAATAATGCAATTGTATTCACTTTGAGAAAAAGCTCTATGTGAAATAAAGTATTTCCCCTAAAAGATTAAACAATTGAACTGGGGTGACCTTCTGTGCATGTGTGGAGAGAAGTAAGAAAAATATTTAAGAAAATTGGGTCCTGCTTCTCTCCCTTTCCTGTGTCGTCAGCCCATTAATATACACTTGATGCTTTTGCTATGGGCTTTTCTCCTGAAATCATTAGTGGAGGGATTCTCAGCTTTCAGTGGATGGTTTGGGTTTGGTTTGGATTGGTTTGGATTTTTTTTTTAAGAAGAATTAAAGACTTCAAATTGTACTCTAGCAAACACAGGTCAAAGTACAACCTTGTCCTGTTTTATATATCAGTTATTAGGAACACCACTGATTTTTAGGAAATGGGAGGTGAGGCCATTTGAAACTTTGAGCTTGACTGTGAGGGTGTCTCCTTAGGAATGTTAGTATTTTAAGCATATGAGGTATGGAAGATGTGACTGGAGGATATCAGTATATTTTTTGAGACTGGAAAATTATAGACACAATCTTACTTGAATTTCCTGGTAGGGCCATATTGGGGTTTTTTCTGAAATGTTTCTTAAGCAGTAACTGTCAAGACAAATAAGTACATTTTGAGAGTGAGAGACTGGAATGAGACCACAGTACATAATTATTTAAAGATTTTTATACTTTCTTAAACAGCATCATAATCCTACTTCAAAGGATATTAGAGTCTTCCAGAAGAAGAAAGAAGAAAAGGACAAGTAAGATGCTTTTAAATCCTTATTTTAATATTAGTTTTCCAGTCCTGAAAAAGATATAGAGATTGTTTCAACTATATTGCTTATGAAACTTCAGATATGAATGAAATTTCAACCAAAAGCATAAATAATTCACATCTGCTTTACCATTTAGGAAAACTCTGAACATTTTTATCCTTTGACTGTATTTGTTGCTTTCCAAATATCATTGTTTGTTTTCTTTCCCCAACATTTACTCATTCATTCTGTCAAATCCTTTGGTAAGAAATATTCTAACTTTTTGCTGATGATCTCTTAAAAGGCTTAGTATATTTTCTGTGAGATCTTGTAAAAAATGTTTTTCATGTATCCTTACAGAACTTACAAATCAGCTGTAGTGAAATGAGTGACAGCATGAGGTAATGTGTAATACTATTTCTCCACAGAGCCCTGTTGTCTGAGCATCACAGAATCAGAGTATCACAGGCACTTTCTCTGATGAATGAAATGTTATCTGAAACAGTGGCATCACCAGCAAGTGATCACAGGATGTTGTCCAGCACAAGATCAGCTCAAGCTTACAGTAGGAGGAAGGTGGCATCTAGTACAGGGTAACACTCTAAGCATTAAACCTGCTCTGTTCTACTGGTGTCTGTAATACCCTCCAAATATTGTAGCAAGTTTAGACAGGAATAGCTTGGGAGAAAAGTCATATGCTGGTGGAATCAAAGATACAATTTGTCTGGGTCAGAGGACTCTCAAGTCCCTGTTCCAGGCTTGTTAAAATCAGTACTGCACATCTTGGAGGGAGCCTTAAAAATGCCTTCTGAAGCACTGAAAAAGTTGGGCTGCAAGCAGTGTCCTAACCCATTCTACTCAACATCAGTTCCTTTACAGTAAGGGTGGTTAAACGCTGGAACAGGCTGCCCAGGGAGCTGGTGGCATCACCACCCCTGGAGGTCTGACTGGACACACTCTGTGCCAGGGTCTGGTTGACAGGCTTGTATTGTATTTGCAGGCGACCCCTGTGGCAGGGAGGAGTGATGCATCTGAACCCATTTCTCAGAAGGCTAATTTATTACTTTATTATACCATATTATATTAAAGAATATACATATTATACTAAAGAATACAGAAAGGATACTTACAGAAGGCTAAAAAGATAAAGAAAACTCGTGACTGTCCCCAGAGTCCCGACACAGCTTGACACTGATTGGCCAATGAGTCAAAATAACTCACAGCAGAGTCCAATGAAACAATCTCCAACCACATTCCACATGTGAGCACAACTTAGGAGAAGCAAATGAGATAATTATTGTTTTCCTTTTTCTCTGAGGCCTCTCAGCTTCCTAGGAGAAAAATCCTGAGCGAAGGGATTTTTTCAGAGAATGTGAATGCCACAGGCTTGTAATCCGATCAGAGGTTGTACTTGATCTTGGAGATCCTCTGCAACCTTAATGATTCCATGAGTTCCACTGGACTATAACCAGCAATATAGACCTGAAGAGCATCTAACAACAAGCAAGAAGCAAATAAAAATTCTGCTGTGCAAACTCTAGACTTGTTCTTTTTCTTGTTAATTTTTTTATTACTTAGGATTTCACTTGTTCTTACTTTTGCACTTTTCTTATTGCCTTTTGAGGAGATGAGGGTATCTGAGTATTATGAACTGATACATTTACTCAGTTTGATGGCATTAATGCTACGTGTGTATATGTGTAATACAGGTGTATATTGCATTGTAATTTTTCTTCTTATATATATAATTTTATGCTTTTCAGAATGATAGGGAGAACTTTGTACTTACAGGGTAATCCTGTAATTTAATATTTCTGCTTCTCTTTTTCAGTGCAGTACCTTTTTTTGTTGCATACAAAAAACATTAAACTGAATGTAGTCAGTGCTGTGCAGAGCCTGCTGGTGGTGTCCAAGGGAAATTTAAGTGCATCATCCCAACCAGAATCAGACATGCTAAGGAACATCATGCAGGAATCTACTTAGGAGTAGCAGGAGCTACTAACTAAAAAGTTTTGGTGGACCTAAAGTGGCTCTCTGTAAAGCCAGTTTGATGTGTCTTCACTGTGATTGCAGCAGTTCTGATTCTGGTGAGGCTTACTGGCCCCACAAGCAATGTGTGATGCTGGTCCTCAGCTAAGTGGGGTGAATGTGATTTCTCTGGATTTTGTGTCTCTTCTGAATATGCCCTGTGAGGTCTGAGTTGTGTGGAGGAATGGTGTATGGTACACAGTAGCAAGTATTTAAGATTTCTTGTGTCGGTCCTTTTGTCTTGTAGAGCGCATCTGAGCAGTCCTGTTCTGGCAGAAAGAAGCAGAACTGCTGCCAAACCTGGTTTTGGTCAAAAAGTGCAACACTTCACCCCAACTCTTGGTTTAACACAGTCTAGGGGTAAGAACAGAACTTTTTTTATGAAGGCACATACTGAAGAGGATCTTCAGGTGATTGCTGGATTTTTGGGAGGGATATGTGTGTAAAAAATCAGATTTATAATCTTGGATGTTTCGTGTCCTGAGATTTTTGCAATTCTGCTGCTATTGTTTTGCTAAATTATGAGAGTTACCTTTTCTTATCACTTCTCTTTAAATCCAAAGTAGTTTAAATTCCATAGCAAGAGTACTGTGTAATCCAGGCAGCAAACTTGTAGGTAAAAATTTCTAAGCATCTTTGATTATATTTGATCTGCATTTAAAAAAGGAAATGCTTACTTTGTCTCTACAGGAAATGCCTGTATGCTCCTTCAGAAAAGTACCTCCAGAAGAAGACTGAGAAATGCTACAAATGGTCCTGTTAAGTCTAGACACTGTAAGTTACACAGAACAATGACATAGTGCTAGATAATACAGAGGGGGAACAAGATGCAGATACAGCATTTGTTTAGAAGAATAAAATTCATTATTTTTTCCCCACATAAAAATCCTTTTAGTTAGAAACTTGTGAAATATTTTAATCACTTCTGTTCACCTTTTGAACAGTTTTAGCCAGGTGACAGTTTCAAGATTACTGAAATAAGTGTGCTAGATTTTGGTGAACTCCTGAAACACGTTATGAAATCACAAGGGGTAGAGTCTTTTATCTTTCAATTCAAACCCACAGAGAAAGTTAATTCGCAGACCAGGACACAAGAATTACGCCTCTCCCATTCCTTTCTATGCTGCTGACTCTCCGAGATCTTTAAAATAGGAATTGTCTTTATTATCCCTCTGTACAATATCCATCTAATATATCATTTTGTCATAATGTTAGCATGGAAAAATTTGATTAAGCTTAACAAGAAATCCCCTTTGGATTTTAGTGGTACTTTTTCCCATGCCTCTCTTTGTAGGTCTAATCCACAAAAGATTGTTCCTAATCAAATTATTTAACAGAGACAGTACTTGTTAATAGGAGCAGAATTTCTGATCAAAGAATGAGAAGTGAATCAGTCTGAGACTTAGGAAATGCTGCGGCCTGATTCTATTCTGCCTTACACCAGAATTATGCTATTGGCATATTTTGGAAAGTCAAAGGTCAGTGTATTTGACTTGGCAGTACAGGAAATTGAGAGAAGGAATAATAAGCAGAAAGGCACATTTCCTGAATCGCCTCTACTCATGTAGAAAAGTAATTTTTCTCCATTCCATATATTCACTTTTTAAACTCTGTATTCAGTCTGATCTTTCTCTGATTTCCTAGCACTTCCTTGTATCTGTTTTTCCAGTATATCATATCACTGCTAAGGGTTTCATCAAAGTTCCATGTCTTCTGAAGAGGCACAAATTCAAAATTTATTTAGTTTAGTCCTCTGCCAAACAAGGAAGCGATGTGCTTTTTGGGAATGGCACCACAGAGCCTGGGTGCTGTAGGCACCATGCGTAGTCCTGTTCCAGTTTGTGTTCTGCTCTGTCAAGGCAGTTCAGAGCAGGAGGCTGGAAGGAACCAGCAGCCTTTTCTAACCATAAACATCAGTTCTAGATAAGAGAGCTCACTGTTTTCACATGGATTTACGCACAGCTTCAGTTCCTAGAACCTGAAGCTTCTAGGAGTTTCAAGAGATTGAGATGAAAATTGTAGGAAGTGTTACAGGGCTATGGTTGGCATGTTTTCTCCTCAGCTGCTGAGTGCAGAGTCAGCAGAGGCTCAATACAAAAGCCTCCTCAAGTTGCCACTGCAGTTCAGACAGAAGGTGTTGATCCTGACACTGATCGAGACGTGGTGAGTCCTTGGACTATGCCTGATGATATCCAAAGAATACTTCAAGATACTCATGACTCCATGTTCCAGGTAGAGTACCTACTTACTCTGTAAACTATTTGATACTTGCCACTTAACACTTTGTTTACTTCTACTTTATTTAAAATGGGGTTCTCTATTCAAAATATGTGGGTGAGATAGATACAGAGGGGCATAAATGGTGGGGCTTCAGCAGAACCTTATTATTTTTTTTTACAATTGCAGTCATTCTTGTGAGCCTTGAAATTCAATGTTTTTTTTTGACAACTGTAAAGGCACATTGCCTGCCCAGGCAACAGACACCAGAGGGAGGGCATTAACAGGAAAATAGATTGCATTTGTTGCAGACTAATCAGACACACAACTGGATTTGGACATGTTTCAAAAGAGTGGGATCATTTCTGCTGTCCACGAATGAAGCACAATGTTCAGTTCATCTTCTCTTCCCCCAACAGGCCTCTGCAGTGCACAGCATGAGCTTCTCTCCTCTCAGCAGTATCAACACTGACAGTGTTTCTGAAAGCACAGGGAGCATCCTCAGCAAGCTGGACTGGAATGCAGTTGAGGCTATGATAGCAGATGTGGAAGACACATGAATAGTTCTCAGCCACTGTGCTCTTCCAAATAGTTGTTGGTGTTTGGGTTTTGTTTTTTAAAATCAGTAATTGTTCTACTTAAAATGGATTGAGGCCTGCATTGGTTTCCTTCTTAAAGCATCATGGAAACTCTCACCGTTTCCAGCCTTGCCTAGATGAAGCTGAATTCCTAAAAATGTAGTTTTGCTTCCATATATCTTCAGGTCAAGAAGAACTAAATATAGTTGGTAAAGGCAGACCCACAGTCTTAAACAGATCTGGGTCAGCTGCTTTACATAGAAACATATATAAAACACAAAAAAAGTTATTTTATTTTAAGAGCAGTATACAACTGTTTTACTTTTGTATTTAATATTTAACACTATTATGAAGTTATTTTTGTAACATAAGGGTTGTGATAAACTGGTTTAATAAAAGTGATTTTATTTGTTTCTGCTATAAATTATTTACACATATAGCACTATTAATTATTGCTGTGTACCACTAGGACTGTATGTGCACTATCCTCATAGTTTAAACCCAGCCTACTTGTGCAGTGCAGGTGTACCCTTATTGGGCCCCAGATGCTCCCCTGATGGGGAAAACCTCTTTTTAACAGTTGTGTGCCAGAATTGAGGGATGCACGGGAATTTTTCGGTCTTCAGGTTGCTGTTTATTTTTATCGTATCAGAAGTTTGGCACGCTGTCTGCAGCAGACTTAGTGTGCAAGAAAGTACAGCAAAAATGGTCACAAGGTGTACAGTTTCAAGGTCTTTTAAAGCTGTTTTATCCAATTAACTCTTAAAACGTACTTTATTTCTACCTTTCTACCAACAACTAATCCTTTGTCTGTCCGCGTAACCTCTGCACTGCAGCTTCCCTCAACCAAGCACCCTGTGGCACCAACACTGCAGAAAATGGACTAGAAGAAGAAGCCCAGACAGCACCCAAGATCCTCCCAGCTTGTCTCCTAACTACCTCCATACTAAAATCCCAAAACTCTAAATTTCTCACCCTGTGACTAAACTTTTCTCTGTTATCTATTTTACACATTTGCAGACTCTAGTCTTTCCCAAAGTCTTGGAAGCCTTCTCCATGGACGAAGGTCAAAGGCAGTGCTTCACTGGAGGCCAGGACAGAGCAGGCAGAGAAATATTCCCTGTGCCCTGGGTTCCAACAGTGCAGTAGTTTTGAGAAATCATAGAAGAGTTGGAGTGATTGATATAAAGAGGTACAAATAGTCAAAAATTAATGGGGCCAGTGCCTTCAAAGAGCCAATCAAAGCATGAAACTGTGACTTTGACGTTGGTACCCAAAGTGTAATACTGTGTTTCTTCAGAGTGGCAGCAAACAAATCATCAAGAAACACTTTCTGTTTTTGGTGGAAAAATACTGTGAAAAATACTGGATTATCCAAGTGTGGAAATCTCGTTGTGCCACAGCCTATCTCACAGCCATGTGTGAGAAGGAAGAGAAAGCAGTCTGTCCGTTTCATTTTAACAGTGGTAAAGGAAATACTTTCTTGATGTGGCTCCAGATCCACAGCATCACAGATCATTAACACAAGGGCAGGGAGGCAGTTCAAAGACCTCCCAGTCAGGATGTCAGCACTGAACTCACACTTTGCCTGAGCTGTGACAGCAGCAGACCTGGGCAGGCAGAGCTGCTCCTGCAGAGCCACAGCAGTGAGAAAAAACATTTGGGACATGTGAGAAGATCATCAAGAGTGATCTCTTCACCAAGCTGCTCCCACGGACTCAAAACTTTTCTTTGCAATTTCTCTTCTATGATGCTCCTTTTAGGCCTGAAGAGGAGGAAACTGTTTAGAATGTCTTTTTCTGAGAGAAGCAGGTAGTCATTTGAAATTAAAGAAATCTTGAAATAGACATTAAAAAAACATTGAGGAGGTCTGCTGTCATGGAAGCTATGAGGATCAAACAAACAAAAATCTGTTAAGTCATTGAAACCTTTTATAAACAAAATTTTAAAAGCCCATGTTCTCTAATATCCTCATAAAGGTAGTCTAAATACAACTGTATATGTATATTTGTATATGTATGTAATCTAGACTGGTTTACAGTTTAATTGCCTTATTACTTGCTTCGTTTTTCAGGGCTGAAGTTTCTCTTGCAAAGCTGAAAGAGAAGTTAATGCTTTTGTTCAAATTTGAAGGCTTAAGATTTTCCTCAAACACCAAATTGCAGAACTTGAAACTTTGGAAAAGGAAGAAATTGGTAATTTTTCTTTCTTTATCCAGCCTTCCTCATTTTTGCCATCCCTTTGGAGTTGTTTGTTTTTGGTGTTTTTTTGATCACAGCCTCTCACCTGTTCCAGTGACTCACCACCTTCAACAGAAAGTTTTCTTCTCTATATCTAGCCTGAGTTGATCTTCTTTCAGTTTAAACCCATTGTCCCTTGTCCTACCATTACCTACCCTTGTAAAAAATCCTTACCCAGCTTTCTTGTGAGGCCCCTGGACGTACTGGAAGGAGCTCTAAGGTCCCCCCAGAGCTTTGTCTTTTCCAGGCTGGACAATCCCACCTCTCTCAGACTGTCTTTGGAGCAGAGGTTTTCCATCCCTTTAGTCATCTTTGTGTCCCTCCTCTGGGCTCACTCCAGCAGGTCCCTGTCCCTCCCGTGCTGGGAGCCCAGCTCTGGATGCAGTGCTCCAGGTGGGTCTCAGCAGAGCAGAGCAGAGGGGCAGAATCCCATGGGGCTCGGGATGCAGCTCAGGACATGTTTGGCTTGCTCTTCCAGGAGTTTCCAGGATTCCTGAAGTACTCTACATTCCCAAGCATATGTCTGTTTACACTTTGTGTAGAATAAATGTTTAGAAGCATAACTCTGTTTAATTTTGGGTTAGTGGCTGGCATGGGCAATCTTCAAAATAGCCTCTTTGGGAAAATAAGAAAAGTGAAGAATAACATCACCAGACACAAAATCCTCGTTTTTTAGTTACAGTGTCCTGCTCAAAGTGTTTGTCAGTGGTCTGGATGGTGGAGGTGAGTGCACCAGTAGCAGGTTTGCTGATGATCCAGACTGGAAGGTGCTGTGGATTCTTTTAAGGGATAAGAGGCTTTTGCAGAGGGATCTGGATAGTTTGGAGCACCGAGCAATCTTAAATGGGGTGAAATTTGTCAAGTCCAAATGGTGGATTCTGCACCTGGGAAGGAGTAACACCGGGCACAGGGGTGAAGTGGGAGAGGAGTGGCTCAGGGTGGGTCAGCAGCGGCCGGGCAGCCCCGACACAAAGCCCAGCCCAGAGCCCCGAGCCCGGCACAGCCGGCCCAGGGAGGGGATGGTCCCGCTGGGCTCAGCCTCGGGGCCGCCTCACCTGGGGCCGGCTGGGCCCTGCCGCTGGAGAGGGATGGAAAGGTCCTTCCGTGCATCCTGAGGGGGGAAACAGAGCTGGAACCTCCTGTGAGGAGCAGCTGAAGTCTTTGGGCTTGTCCGCTTTGGACAGAGGGAGGCTGAGGTGTGACCTCACTGCTCTCCGCAGCTTCATGAGGAGGGGAGGGGCACAGGGAGGTGCTGAGCTCTTCTCCCTGGCATCCAGGGGCAGGATGCATGGGAATGGCTCAGAGCTGAAGCAGGAGAAGTTCAGACTGGATATTAAGAAGCATTTCCTTACCACAAGGGTAGTGAGTGGTCACATAGAAGAACAGGCATCCTGGAGGGGTGGTTGATGCCCCAAGTCTGTCAGTATTCAAGAAGCATTTGGACAGTGCCATTAGCAATAGGTTTCAACCTTTGTTCAGTCCTAAAATGTTCTTTGGATTAGCAAAATGGTCTTTGGAAGTGGCAGTTGCATTAGATGATTGTTGTAGATCCCTTCCAACCATTGTAGTTCAGCAGTTCTATTCTATTCTATTCTATTCTATTCTATTCTATTCTATTCTATTCTATTCATTTCTCTACTGTGATAATGGAATGCCAGGTTAATTTTGTTAACCAAGCAGTGAGAGAACAGTGCAGCACCTGCCAATTAATGGAAAGATGCTGGGAAAAGTGGTGAACTTTACACTGGGGGTCATTTACCCCAGCAGCTCCTTGGCATCTTTTACCACAGTCACTATGTAAGAAACCTTTAATTTTAAACACTAAACTTCTATTTTCTTCCTTACAGAAACATGTAAAAGTACAAATTTTCTTTGCAGTTTTAAATCTGCACATCTGCACATCTGCATGTGCGTATTACAGACTAGATACATGATGACGCAGAGGTTTCTCAGCTGTGTTTGAGCTGGTGACTCTCTGTCGGCTCTGTAGCTGATGCAGGAGTACTGCTCAGTCAGGGTGGAAGCAGGATGCCTTCTGCTGTCATTCCCTGCAGGACACGTGGCAGATGCTCCTCGGGGCTGGCGGTGCAGCAGGCCCGCGGCAGCCCCACTCTGGTTCCGGCAGCCGCCGCTCAAAGCCATTGTCCGAGGCTGTTGCCATGGACACTTGCCCTGGGATGTTGCTGGGGCTGGGCGCTGTGGCAACCAGCCCCTGCCACAGCCTTTTAGGAATCTTATCCAGAGACCTGAACTTCCTTTAGCACTCTAATAGATGACATTTCCATCTCAATGAAAGATAGGGAATCTTCACAGATTAAGTACATTGTCATTTTCTTTGGATTAAATCATATATAGAGGCTGTGTTGTGTACCTCACACATTTTACATTTTAATACGTTTTGATCTTTGTTTTCTGTGGCGTTTTCTGTCGGAAAGCTTTAAAAAGTCAAAAGGAACCTATTTCAGGAAAAAACTTCCTTGCAGGAAGTTTAAAAAACAACAGCAAAGCAAAAGTAGAAGTAAAACCAAAAGCAAAACTAAAAAAAACCCCGAAAAGAGATATTGGAGACAACACCCAACACCAACTTAACCCAAAAAAGTACAATAATTAAAATAAGATGAAAAAGACAAAGCTACAAAAGTAAGAAGATACTACTTCAACTATTTTGGTTCTTTAATATGAATCTTGATTATTAAGGGACTCAGGAACTCCCTTAATAATCTCAGGGAGTCAATGGTACTTACCACCGGCTGACACAAGAGCACCTCCAGCTGAAGCCAGAACTCTGGCTGAGATATTTAAACTTAGAGATTACTAACAAGATGTCAAATTCTTTGAAAAGACAGATTAAGATGCACAGGGCTGGCATTTGTGTTTTGTCTTCAAGACCCCTGGCCAGTGAAGAAACAGAGAGTTAGGTTTCAAGAGGAACGTGCAAGGGAAGGCAAGGGAAGTTTCCTTTCGGGCTCCCTGTCTCCTCAAAGCCATACTTACACCTTCTGAAGATGGAAGCAAGTGTCCTCAGCTGTGGAATTTCAAGGATCCTACATAGGCTTCAACAAATTATATGTAGCATTGGAATGTGTACACAAGATTAATCTGCACTACAGTTTGTAAAATTTGTAAAATTGTAGGGAAAAGGAGCAAAACTTCACTACTAT